AATTATTTTCACTTAGGTTGGCAAAAGCTCTGATGGCATCATCACGATAAACATACTTGCAAAACCAATGCTTGGAACTCTTTACATGTGGCTTGATTGACTTGACATTGCCGAATTCATCGCTGGGGGTTAATTGTTCAATTTCTCCAAACTCTTGCAACGCATCTTTGAAACCCTTTTCTGTTTTCAAGAACTTCGATGAAATGAACAATGTCCTGTTAACCTTTGCTGCTTCACACCTCAAGTTTCTACCGTTCAAGACAGAGTTATGCCCCTTATAAATGGCAGTTTTCGAATCCTTATCATTCGTATACTGAACAAAAGCATACGGCCTATTAGCAGGATCACGGAGTACCTTAACGGTCGATAATTTACCCCATTGTCCAAAATGATTAGTTACGGACACACAGAGTTCGTCGTCACTTCTACTGGAACAGAGACTTGCAACAAACACACAACTTGATGGCCTTCCTCTTGCAAGAGGCTGCTCATTTGTTAGTTTCATATCACCATGATTAGGGTCGTAATTCTCTTTATTTTCGTCTGCATTACCATCTTCATTACCGTTTGTCTCTGCCTCATAGTCGTTGCAAACTTCCTCACCATCAACAACCTTTTTCTCATCATCCACCATAGCGTTATCGTCGTGGTGGTCTCCATCACCTAATTGAATTGCCTCTTCCTCACCATCTTCCTCTTCGTTACTGCTTTCTCCAGCGTCGCCGTCGGTGTTGTCATTTTCGTCGACGGCGGCTAATTTGCTTGAGTCAATAAATAGCTGGTTGAACATCGCTAACGTGTTCTTCTCATCACCCTTCATATAACCATCCTTGTGTTTGTAAGAACCCGACTCCAATACTGGTGAAATGGATCTCTGGTCCTCCATGTATGGCTTTTTCTGCATGTCTCTAAAAATTAGGGGTTTAGTTAGTTATTAATATGAGCTAAATCTATAAGGCCTGGTATTGTTGTGGCTTCGTGGCGTGTGGCTACTTGTATAACAACCGCTGCTAATAAATTTGATTCTAATCCGAAATATGACTATTCGTACTTCTACAAACGTATACTATTCTAAAACTACCAATCTATCACTGTTTTATAACCACAGAATAACGGGAATGGCTGCAAATAATAACAATACGTGCGCGTACCAAATCAACACCTCACTTCGAATCTTACTCCGTACGGCTGGAAGAGAAGGCTGCAAACGTCCAGCAGATAAACCGTTTGGTCTCTCGAACTATGGAAAACACGCGGGCATGGCGACGTCCCTATAATTTCTTCTATTCCTGGTGGATGATCTTGTGTCTGAAACGGGTGGAGAGGCCAGTCAGGCCCATTGGGATTAGACTCGCGGCTGAATGGATGGGTGGCAATCTACTTAAATTGTAGGGTCAGAGTACCTCTAGATGAGATGACTTCTCACCCTGACTAAGAGCATCACTACCACTAATTAGTGGTGATGGTGATGGATCAGCATTAGTAATAAGTGGAGTTCGGAAAAACTCGCGTTCAATTTGTGTATGGTGCAAGATTGCCCGCAAAAATTACCCGCAAAAATTACCCGCAGTGTTGCCCGCAATGAAGACGGGGAGTCAGATAAAACATGGGGACAGATAGTAAGCAGAGGAGAATGTTACAGTAATGCTAGAGATGTAACTTCTGTCTGTATGTGTATTTGCTTCACAAGCATGTCAGGCGTAACTTCGCAATCATAAAACAATCATCGAATAATTCAGCAAGTGTAAGCATAGAAGCAAATACAATAGGTACAATCATCCCGAAACATCCTACAATAGATGTCTTCTCCAATTAATAAGTTAGTATATTATCACCGACGCACTTCATAGTACAGGTAGGGTAGAGTTGCTGGTAATTGTAGGGTTAAATGTGGGGATCCAGGTAGTAGATGCAGCATGGGGAGTCGAGCTCACGACCTTGTACCTGACCCGTCAGACTTTTCTCCAATATACTATTAAACGAGCGTGATCCCCTTTCTTCGATTGGTGTTCGTCCGGTCTAGACACACTTCTACACTTCTAGCCTTAGTGACATTTGCTTCATAATCATTATCTAAAATTACTCTCAGGGCTGATTACAAAGTCATTGACCCGATATGCCACTATGACTAAAGCAATTAAACCAATTCCAGGCGTCACTGTGGTTTCTTAATATAGGGCTGAAGCAGAATAGCATATTCTCGACCTATATCTGCATGCAGGCGGAGATAATTTTTACAAAGTTGAACTAATGGTTATATCCATACGCAAATAATTCAGTGCATATCCCTCTGATATTAGTCCTCCAAATGCTTCTGTTTCTATTCTTAGCTACAATTGCTTATCGCCACTTTCACAGGTGCTCGCCTTAAACCTTAATCTACACTTACCAACAACACACTACCACATTATCTATTGGGACCTGCTTGCTAACGCCCCACTAACAACCACTTTTTTTTCTTCTCATATTTTGACCTACCTTCTATATTTTGCCGATCGCTTTATCTCTGGCATTGTTACGTCTCACTGGCTAATTATCTTAGTGCATTTCCCCAGTTATTGCCGTTATTCTCCAACAATTGTGCAAATGTCGCTAATCCCAGAATGTCGCATAGATTTTCCCCAATAATAGCTGTGGTTCCCCAGAATTCTGCCGAGTCGGCGTTGCGCCGACCGGTGAGCCGCCGTTCTGCCACGGTTCACTGCTATCCTTCGCTAAATGCTTCACTACGCCAGATATCGCACCACTATTTACATTTCCGGACACTAAACCTAGTAAAAATGGCGCACAAACAAAATCCATCGCTCCCCGGGTTTTCGATTTGGTAGCGCTCAAGCGGCCTTTCACGTATCTCCATCACATAGCATTCATATATTCAAAATAACAACCTTAAATGAGTTGTGTAAATTTACTATGGTAGTCCGTATATGTGTATGTTACACCGAATAAACACAGATAAATTTTAGGGTGTCTAACATAGCCCGTCGCTCCAGTATAAATAGTTTAGTAGTATTGTATGCTTAGTTGGAGATTTTGCGCAGTATATATATGGTGATAGTTCGCTCATTAAGAAAAAAGGCTTAAATTTTTTTCTGATGTCCCCTCTATTTTCAAAATTTTCATACAGAATATAAAATTTTTTCATCCCAGTTATATTGAGTCTAGAAGTACTGTATCTGTATTTTTAGGAGCAGCAATTATATCTAAGGACAAGGCAATATCTATCGGTAGAAAGAAAAATAGCCGGTAAGATATTGTAAACGTTGAATATTCACATTCATTGAAATTGAATTAAGAAGTCACAGCAACATAAAGTGCAATAAAATAGTATTAGACATGACTACAAAGACCCAAGACAAGCGTAAGGACCCGACAAGCAGGCCTTACAAGTGTACGATGTGTGATAAGGCATTCCACCGACTTGAACATCAGACAAGACATATAAGAACGCATACGGGGGAGAAGCCCCACAGTTGTTCATTTCCTGGGTGTTTTAAGAAGTTCAGTCGGTCAGACGAACTTACTAGGCACTCGAGGATCCATACGAACCCCAATTCACGCCGAAATAAGAACTTGAGTAAGTCACAGCAGAAGATACCAGTGCCCCCACAAACACCGAAGGGAGATCAGTTAGACCAGCCTAAGGAGGAAATACAAATAATTAACGAAAAGCCACAATCAGAACATGTTAAGACGGAGAAGGCCGATATGGTGGATTCGGTACAACAACCGTCGGTGATACATCATGCGCATGGTGTTCTTGGGGCACCGCTAAAGGTGAATAGCTCTGAATCGTCGTTTTCATCGAACCTGTTGAGTAAAAAGAAGTCTCACAATTCGGACGACATCGCTAATAAAGGTCACAGGTCAGAAAACAGTGATGATGAAATGCAAAGTACACCTCCCCTGGACGATTGTGCTTCCCACCTAAATGGCAAAAAGAACATCGATGTTTTGGCCTCTGCCGCATCAGAGGAATTGGAGAACTTGAACTCAAAGTCATTGCCTTCATTGACCGACTATTTCAATAATGGTAAGACTGTTCCATTTTCTGCTCCCGCTCCAAAACCTATAAACTCGTCCAATTCGACCAACAACTTACAATACTTATCTAATGTGGCAATGATGTCTTCCAATAAACCCCAATCAAAGAGCTCAACTACATTAGCCGGTAAAGGCCACACGAATGCTTTGTCAGTTTTGCAAAGGATGACGCCATTAAATCCTGTCCCCCAGAATTCGCATGCTTTACAGGATTCAGACTTCGATTACGTGAAACAGAGATTGAAGAAATCAAGACCTAATTCTCCTGTTAATGGTAAAAATTTTACTTTGCCCAACTCCCCAGTCTTAGGCTTATCATCCACTACAACGCCAATAATATCCGCTAATAACAGCTCTACCAATTTAGCTGCCTTAATGATGGCTCCAACCTCAAATAATGCTATTACCGATGGTGGTTTTATACCGAGACAGAATAATTCTTCACCGCCACCACATAATGCTTTTGATAGAAACAACTTGAAGGATGAGAATAGCTTACCTCCCTTAAGAAGTTTGAAATTGGAATTGCCTACAAATTTGCCAATGCAATCTATTAATGCTTCTTTTGATATAGGCTCTACGCTCAGGAATGCGCCATTCCCTTCAAATACTGGTGAAAGTCGTCAATATTAAATTATGTCCCGCCGGCCTAATTTCATATGTAAAATAGTGTAATAATATTACTGTATAGTAAGTAAGGATTAATCAGGAAGATGGAGCTAACAGCGAGCGCAATGTAATGATCATCTGAATATCCCTTTATCCGACTTAAATTTCATCTTATCAGCGAAACGTGGAGACATATTCAGTACGATGCATAGGACGATTTTTCTAAACAATAGAAAAGAAGGAATTTCACATGCAATATCTTACAATTACTTATCTACTCTATTCAATTAAAAGTGTACACTATTCTAAAATATATATTCATCTAGTCAACATGCTCGCTATATCAATTACTTCGATAAATCTACTCCGCCTATGGCCCAAACTTCACTTTCATCTTCGATTCTATCGGAATATAAAGTTTCTTCGTCACCTCCTGCTTCTATTCTTTCTCTTTCGACACCCGCTAATCTGGTAGCAACCCTCTTTGTATAATCACCGATTGATCTTGGAATAATAGAGATTCCAGAAACTCCCGAGATATTGGACTGTTTGCTGTTAAACCATTCGTTAAAATCATTCATTTGTTCATCATCTACCAAATTGAAGATTGCGATGTATGCTTTTTCAGCTGCTAATTTAATTGGAATAATTGTGTCACGAACACAAGTAAAGATAGAGGGAACTAAAAGATCATAAAACGGTTTAACCAATTCTTGATACTTGAATCTTGCAATGGTTCTTACGATTACCAATGATAATCTTCTCGTATCTGGAGAATTCGAATTCGGCTTAACCATATTAGTTGCCAACTGCTCTACTAACTTGTGTATATTATCGTCATCAACCTCAAACTGCTTATCATTTACAATTGTGCTAGAGGTGACTGGTGACTTCGTTTCGTTCAACAATAAGCATAATTTACCAATGGCAACAGTCGCATTAGCACTGATGTAATCGTTTGAAGAATTAGCACAATTGATTATAAATGTAACAATCTCGTCTAATAATCCCGTCTGGAAAATGTGGTGTGGTGCATCCTTTAAGAAGGAGTTAATAGACAATATCGCAAATTTGTGATTATCAACACTAACATCATTTTGCTTCTCCAAAATTTTTGATTTAAGGATGCTTGTAGCTTCTTCAGTAGACAAAATTTGTGATAACGAACCAATTAATCTCGCATATGAAACAGCTGACTTATCGCTAACAAGTGTAATCTCATCCTCCACTAATGACAAAATAGACGTCTTTGAAGCTTCATTCATATTTCCACCAGCTTTGCTAACAACTTCTAACATACCCTTCAACATAGCGGTCTTAACGCCTTGCTCGGTAGCATTTCTTGCACCAGTTACCAATTCAGTAACCAAGGAATCCACTCTGGGTTGATGTTCTATCAATGTACCTAGAGCAACAACTGCTCTGGACCGTAATGCATCATTTTGTGGATCTGATAAGGATCTCACAAATGTTCTTTGCAATTGAGGAATAAATGGACGCAAAAACTGTGGAATCTTGGAAAGTAAGCTTGTCAACGCGTACAAGATACCGGCCTTAATGTCGGATGAGACACGTTCACCAATAACACGAATTAATGGACCAGTAATAGTGGTAGCAAATGGTTTCAAATTTGCTGCCGGTGTTTTATCAATAATATCGGCGATAGCATGTGCAGACATTTCTCTTTGGTCGCTATTACCATACATCAAACCATGCGAGAAAATTGGCAATATACAATTTGGTCCTCTTGGTAATGTAAATGCAGCTAATTCTTCACCTCTAACACCTGTAATGCTTAAAGCTTGGCGTGCAGGTTTAATGAGTCTTTCAAGAGATTCCTTACTTTGTCTTTTCACTAAAGCAGATAATGCATCAAAACTACCCTTTACAACTTCTGGAGATCTGTCACCCAATGAAAGGATAAACTGCGATACCATATCTTGTATGTAAACGGTATAATCAAGGTTAGTATGCGTAAAAAATGAACCTAAACGTTCATAGATTACCGCTCGTTTAGCAGCATCTTCATGCTTAACTAAAGATAATAATTGTTGCATTAATGGGTGAACTCCTTCATCATCGTCTATGGCTAATAATATTTTATCGAATGCAGACTTAATTTCATCTTGAGATTCTTCTGATTCATTTTTGGAATCAAGAACAGCAGTAACTAAAGTATTAATAATAAGGGACAAACGCTTGTACAATGCATGACCAGCAACGGAAGCCAACGAAGAAAGTGCTCTTGCCTTAAAGGCGTCGATAGGAGGAGATAACAAAGTCGGTATCAATATCGGGAAAATAACATCTGCCTTTGTCGCCATTATATCTTTCAAAGCTAACAAAGCATTTTCTGTATTATCAGATTCTAACATGTTCAAAAGATATGGCAAAATTTCATCAATAACAACCTTACCAAGTTGTTCTTGCAAAGCCTTAAATGCTTCAGCGGCTGCCTCTCTGACCTTAGTAGCAGGATCAATAAGGGCATCACGAATAATACTGATAAATACACCTTGATATTCAACAAGACCATCATATTGTGTTGATTTGATTAATTCAGAAAGTGCGATACAAATACCTTGCTTCGCATCGTTATCACCAGATACCAAGGATGATTGCAAAGTTGGCAATAATTGGGCCAATGCGTTCGCACCAACACGACGAATCATTTCACCAAGAGTCTGAGCTGCGATCGTACGTTGCTCTTCATCTGAAGATGCTAAACGGCGAACAATTATTTGGGTTAAGGTTGGCAAAATTTCTTTCACTGTCCTTGGAGTATTTGCAACCAATGCTTTCCAAATATCGACAGCGGCACTACGAACAATACCTGCAACATCAGAACGGCATACAAATAATAATGACAAAATACGGTCACGGCGATCCTGACCAAGAACTTCGATGAGAGTCTTGTTAACTTCACCGGAAAATTCTGATACCTCTTCTGTAAGTTCACTTTTGCCTGAAATACCTGTAACTTGGAATAACAAGTCACCGGTAAGTTCAACAGACGAAAGACGGATACGATAATTCGTGTCTGATAACCCAATTTCTAACTCTGGTAGTAATAAATCAACTGCCTTTTTCGCGTAATTCTTCACAATTAATCTACCAGCTCTCAACGCAGTATCCCTGATTTCTTCATCTGTGTCAGCCAATCCTGATAAAATTGGGGGAATAATACGGTTTAAATATGGTGAAAATTGGGAACCGAAGCAGACCGGCAAAAATAATAACAAAGGCATAAAACCAGCACGAATGTAATTACGAGGGGAAGATGCTGAGGATAAGATATCTGGCAATAACTCTTCCAATTTGTTAATGCCAAGACCACAAATAACCTCTGAAAGTGCTTGAGCAGAACCAAGTCTATCACCAGCCCTTGTTTCATCTCTCAAAGTATCTAATAAACGAGGAATTAAATCAGGGAATTGTTCTTCTCCTAATTTTTCAACTAAAGAACCTAATGCACGAGCAGCAGTTGATCTTGTGCCTGGTACTGGATCAACCATAGCAACTTCTAATTCCCCGACCAAAGCAGACAAGTATGGGCGAAGGTCTTTACTATCAACTAAAATTGCCATGTTACCAACAATTTGACACGCTTTCCTCTTTGTAGCCGCAGATCTGTCTTTCATACCTCTATGAATAACATGGATAATAAGAGCTAAAGAAGGGCCATCGATATAATGCACAAATTGAGTCTGAATTAATTTATCTAATGCTGCTTCAGTATATTTTGTTGGATCCCCAATTGCATTTATTAAATCTGGTACAATGGCTTGAATTTCGGGGTTACGAATAACTTCACCGAACCTCTTCAAAGCCTGGTCAGCCGCCTTTCTCACCTCTTTATGAGTATCATTTAATACACCAACAATTTCAGGTACGATTGTAGACAATGATGATGACAATTGTGTAGGATCCAAATAAGCCATGGAACCTAATAATTCGACTGAACCTTTCTTAGACCTCCATGCGATTTCATCTAAGTTAGAGATCGCAACAGGAATTAACTTTTTAACACCAAAGCTGGTGGTGTTTTTCATGATTTGCTTTGCAGCTGAATCAGTCGCTTCACGAACCTCTGGTACTTGATCTCCTAAGGATTTCAAGAGAATAGGCAAAATTTCGATCACGTAAGGTTCAAAAAATTTACCCAAGCTTTGAGATAAACATTCAAACGCGAATGAGACACCTTCACGGCGTTGTGAGCTTTTCTTGTCATCGGCGGCATCAGTTAAGTTTCTTATAATATCATATGTCGATAATGACTTAATACCTGAACCTTTCACCAAACCAGAAATACCATATGCCCCACCACGTCTCGAAGCCATATTTTTGCCTTCAAATAACTTTTCAAACAAAGTATCAAAATAATGTTGTAATTTTGGAGTGAATGAAACAACCAACGGAGCAATACATTCAGATATAGCATACTGAACGTCTTCGGATGGAGTATCTAGAGTCTTGATTAATCTATCAACAATCAAATCCAACCTCGAATCCGATTCATCCAAATGACGTGCTAATGCACCATATAAGATAATCACACATTCCCTTATATTATCTTGTGTTTTTGAGCCATCATCCTTTGCCGCTAGACAAGCTTCAAAAATTGGTATCAAAGTTTCAATATTAGTGAATCCATGTTTCTTAATAACTTCAACACCAGCTTCTTGCAATTCTTGGCGTACTAAATCTTCTTTATCACCTAAAGCCTTTTCATCCACCAAAAATCTGAACAATTTCTCGATTGAATGCTTTTCAAAGAAAGGACTCAATAGCTTTATAGTTAACGCTATCGTTGATCTTTCCTCCCAAGTGTCTCTTTGGTCTGAATATGACTTGATAACTAAACCAAACCTATCTAATGCAGGTGGTGGTGGGTTCTTTTTCACATGATAAAGATCAATTAGTTTGTTCAATGTTTCTTCAAAAATATTCTTGTTGCTATCGAGCAATTCCAAAACAGACGAATAAATCGCATTCGCTATAGACAAACGTAATCCGGAATCCTTATTGCCAGAATATTGTAACAATTGAGTTGGTGCATCTTGACTAAGCTCGAATTGGTTATCTTCCCAAATTGTTCTCGCAAGCTCAGCACTATTTGGATCATTATCATGTATAGCAATCCATAATTCGTTGGAATAATTCATTTCTGTTGTTAAGTCAAATTCAGAATCAATACCTTCCAAGACTGCATTTCTAACAAATACTGCAGGCGAAATGACATTGTCAAAAAGTATTTTTAAATCGTTTTTAGTAATACTAACGGAAATGTGTTGACACATGGCTAAAAAGCATTCTTTCGATAATTTAGCTTTTGAAGGCAATCTCATTAACGACAATATTACTTCCAAAATCTTTTGCCTAGGAATTGTATCATCTTCGAAAACTTCTGCGTGAGAAGAAATTATTTCAATAGCTAACAATAATTGTTCTTCCTCTGGATCTTCTTCGACAAATTCCGACGTGACTTTTTGTTTAGTTGCATTCTTCATGGCCACCATCTTACCATTCTCGAGAACTTTAGTTAACAATGGCAAAATATATGATAATGATAACGAATCCAATGGGTTCTGATCAGAGAGAAATTTAATTCTGAATAGAATTCTAGAAGTCAAACTTAAAATAGGTTCTTCTACTAAATTTTCTTCTAATCCTACAACGCCATTGAGTCTTAAAATAGCGACACCTACGAAACCTTTCAATGAACCTAATCGTGATGAAATCAAATCTGCCAAATGCAAAAAAGATTTTAATGGTAAATCGTGCAATAATTGGGGAATAATTTTACTCTCAGTTAAGATGAGGACTTTAGCAATAGCCACTGGATACCAATGTGCTGACCCATTATCAACTTGAGTTGCGTTTGAAACCAAGTCATTAATAATATCGATTCCGCGGTGGAAATCGTTAACTAACATTTGGACTTCTTTACGGATATTAGATTCCTTGTTCAATTGCTCATTCACAAGGACTTGCTCTTCTTTAGTTAACTTTTTCGTTATTTTCCCCTTATTTTTATTTGCTAATTCTTTCCTCATTTCCTCTTCCCATTTTCTAGTCTCGTAATCCCTATTATTTTTGTCATCATTTCTCTTTGAATCAGAGTTATTGCTGAGAACATCAAGAACTAATACGCCATCGGTACCTTGCCAAATCTGGATGGATTGGTTGTCAATATTAACAATCTTATCAATATCAAGATCGAATGACATCAAAGCAGATAATTTTGGACCAAAAACTTCTGGCTTAATAAAAGAAACCATACTCATTGACTTAATAGCTGCCTTGTATAACAGACCCGCAAATGCATTGTTTTTAAGGAATTCTAATGTAGATGCAAATATTTCCTCGGAATTATTCTCAACTAAATCACCTATATTAACATTTGATCTTTGACAAAGTCCTACCCATTCATTTCTAATAGGAATTAAATCATGATTTGCCGCAACTAATAATTTTTGCAAGTTGACCTTTGAGGTATCGTGATTTTCTGATTGGGTTATAACAGATAAGACTGGTGATAAAAATTTGAAATTATAGCTAAACACTTCTTGGTCTTTCTGGTTATCAGCATCAATCAAGACACAATAAATGGAATTTATGATTAATTTGCTATATTCTTCGGCATTCTCATTTAAGCAATCTCCCATAAACTTTAAACATTGAAGCCTCAAATCATATGGAATATTTTCTGAAATTGCCATATAAATCCACGCATGTCCATATGCATCCTTATCGTTTTGATCAAGCAGGTTGATATATCCAGAAGCCTCCCTTAATGCTCTCAAAAACCAAATTGTTTCAGTCAGATTTGTTAATTTTGTGAAAACTTTCGAATTTGTTAAAATTGCGGGCTTCTCAGTATTACGTAAAGAGTTAATGAAAACCTTCTCATCATCAATTAACTTTAAGCTCTTTTTAACTAAAGAGCTTAAAGCTATCAAAACATATGAGCACGATATACCCTTATTAGTAATCGTTGGCAAAGGAGATTGCTGGGCTTCTTCAATTGAGCTAATGAAAATTGGATATAAAGTTTCAATTAGCTGTAAAAATTTCACATTGTGAACGATTCTCATGGTATTATATACATATGCACCTAATTCAAGAAACCAGATACGTCTTAATGGCATTTTTTTATCACTAAGACCAAGTTTGAATTGATTGACGAACTTAGAATTATCCTCATCTGAAATTTCTTCATTATTGACAATTAAGTCTAAATATTGGTTAGTGAAAGCACTAATTAAACCATTCAATGAAATTTCATTTTGATCTTTTGAGACTAACGGTAATAATCCATTCAAGATTTGTAAAGATATACCGGTATTTTTGAATTTAAGCAATGATAAAGTCTTAACAATTAAATATTTTGATTCATTATTCGATGTACTTTTGAACGACTTTAAACATTCATCAATTAACTTGGCTAATATATCGTCTGAAGCCCCTTCAAAGTGATTATTAATTAATAATTCCATTGAAGTAAACGCCCCATTTCTGGTTAACTCTTTTGGGGACTTAAATGCATTCAAAAAGTTAGTTAAAAGCTTTGTATTAACTAAAGTATTACTTAAATCAATGTCCTTGCTCAAGAATTCAATAAGTCTTGGAATTAAATATCCAAACGAAACTTCCGATGATCTTAAAATTGCTTTATCCAATACTGGCACAATTACAGTATTAAAATCATTTTCATTGATGGTAGATTCGATATATTTTCCGAACAATTTTAAAGCATAGTCGTGTGGAGGAATCTTATTTAATAAAACTTGATTAGTATAGTAATTTAAAATCGAAGATTTCACATTTCCACCAGATTCATTCAAATGATTTAAAAGGCCAGGATATGTTGGAAGTGCATCGACAACCGCATCCGAGATAACCCCCAAATAAGAAATCACAACAGTTGGAGGAACCTTATTTGAAGAAGAAGTAAGTGCATTAATATAATTATCGATTACCTTAGTTGAACCATCCAGCTTAACGAAAGTATGTGTGATGGAATATTTGGTTGACGAAAATACAGAATCATTGATTCTTCTTCTGTGTTGGAAGCTCTGGTTGCTTTCATTGAGAATTGTGTTAACGCAATTATTAAACAAGTAAGCTTGACTCAATACCACTTTATCAATCAACTCCTGTTTACTGATTCCTAAATCACTAGTTATAATACTAAATTTATTGATCCAACTCAATAAAGTTAAGTAATCTGTAACAGCCATCGATTTTTCTCTGACTGCAATGTCATAAGTAAATTTAATAAAAACCGGTAAAAATTCATTCTTAAATATAACGACTTTTTCCAAAGTCTTTAACAACTCATTTCTTGAATTCACATCTTGGTAATAGTTATATGTCTTTAATAATGTTTGACATAAGTCTAGCAATTCTTGCTTATCATCAGTTATTTTATTACTATCTAAAAGATGTTGAACTTTTCGCAAGAATGGTATTCTCTTACTGGTCAACGAGTCAAATATTTCTTTCTCATAAATATCTGACAATTGATCCCAGGTAACATCAGTTTCGGAAGTCATTATTTCAAAATCTAATTTGAAATTAAGCGTCTCTTGGGATCTTGACTCTTTACTCTTTAATAGTCCATAGTTAATAGTCTATGGGTTGTCTGTACTGAAAAAAATACTAATTCGTGCAACAACCAAGCTCAATTTTCAGTTGTGTTACCCGGCAAAAAATTATGCCAATATAAATGGAGCATTAAACTACCAAGTTTCTATGGTTTAAAGCTTTTTCTTTATCAACTATACCAGTCGATGAGGAGAGGCTATAGTTAAGTCATCCGTTGCAGTAATTTTTACTCACTATGATATCCTTTTGGGTTTCTTAGAGGGCGCTGTGGATAACATCATGGTCACATCACCACATAATAATGATGTTTAGAAATATCTGAGACTGGAATTTTTGATCATATTTATTCTATATATAGCTGGAGTAGTTTACAATATTAAGTCTGGGCGTGGTTTAGTGATAATCGTAACAGAGTACTATTTTCACTAAACCATGCTCTCAATAATTGTAGGGAGGACCTAGTGGACGAATATGGATGGCTTTGAGGGGTCACAAGATAGCCAACTCATATGCGAGCCATATCCCTACCCTAGGTGGAATGTTCATATGCATCTAACACTTTTCGGTGATACCTATCGATGGAAATAGGCTTCTCCGAAACAATCGGAGTGAAAAAGAGGAAACAATACGAATATTACAAATTAAGTAATACAATAATTATATTAAGTACACTGCTAGTATAAGCATATATATAATCCAACATTTTTACTAGATGTTACAACTAAAACCAAAACTAACATTAATAAATATCTAGACCCCATGAATATCGTAAAACAAGATAGATACATCACTATCTGGATAACAATAAATAATCAAATAATAAATAAACTAGCCTAGTTGCACTAACTAGACTCCAAATGAAACCGTAACTGGTACTTTTATGTTTTGAAAACCTTTTTGTTAAATGGCCAAAGTAACATCTATTCGCCGTGCTTGAAGCAACATCTGTTGCCGTAACGACATGAGCCAAACTTAGACCAATTGGCACAAGGCTTGGATCTCCATTTTGGAGGTCTTGATACCGACTTGAGTTCGTTCTCACCATGAGCAAATTGACACTTATTTCCGTAAGGGCAGATTCCCATCTTAATGTAAGAAGCGCATAATTCGGTCTTGTATAATTGTGTATTCACATTTAATTGTTTATTCTTCTGTTGTTGTGTCTGCTGAACGCTTGGACATTGAACAGCCTGTTGAGACAACAATACCTGTTGTTGCTGCTGTTGCTGTTGCTGTTGAAGTTGTTGCTGTTCAAAATTGAAAATTTCGTCCGAATGGTCCGATAACGACGTGTTCCTCCCAGTGTATGCAAACGAATTAGAGTCGGTACCATACATCAAATTCTCTTCTGTCAATGCTGGTAAGTCATTAAATACCATATTGCCCGGCAATGGCTTGTAGTCTGTACTATCTGTCATCCCGTAATTAGGTTGCATCGCACCTCCTACACCACCAGGCAAATATCCATAGTTACCATTTCCCTGACTCATTAATGGTGGTGTTAACAGAGCTGGCGATTTCCACATGTTATTATGGCTTGGTGACGTCGAACTCGGGGTACTAGATGTCGAAGATGCGCACTCGTGGCTAGATGGCATCAGCCATAAATCCGCTAAAAGGTCACCCTTCACTGCTCCAACATCGACTCCCGTTCTTTCAACAGCCCCAAGTCCACCTACACCGGCAAGCTTCTGGTATTGATCGTTGTTCACTTGGCGATACCCCATCATGTTATCATTTAATGGCAACATTTGCAAAGGCACTTGCTGATATGCAGTCATTTTTTTGTTATAGTTGTGGTTTGGTATATATATATAGTGGGTGTATATATATTATGCGATATATGTTGTGTATAAATGAAAAGAATAATATCTAAAAGTAATTTATAAATATATCTCTGATATTAAAAATGCTTGGGTATTTGCAATTATTTATATTAGGCCGTTAGATAAATGTTCCGCATCGGAGCTAATGGAATTTTTTTCCTGACAAGGTGAGGGTAGTACGACTGATAATGTTGAGTAATAAGAATTGCTACATAAATTACCAAACCAATAACAAAAACCTTCTACAGCCTGCGGCTAAATGGGGTAAGCATGTAATTGTCTTGTCGAAGTCGATTAATAAGGAAAGTTATAGCATGAAAATTTTGCACAATACATTTGGGGATTTAATTGGAGTATGGGCATCTGCGGACAAAATCAACTAAGCGGAGAATCAGAAATACAACATTACACAAGCCGTACCCCTACCATGGGCATATTTTACGCTTCTCCATTTAATTGACTCTTCGACCAAATCGTGGATAGTTTTCCGGATATGGCAATAGCGGCGTAGTATGTAAGCTCTATTGATATTTAAGGCTATTTACATGTAGTAATTTGTGTGAGTTGGGGGGAAAAGGCCCCATGGTATGATGGTTACATACCTTGCAAACACGTAAGTGGATGCAAATAGTCGCTCAAGTTCAAGGGAACGACGTTCAAGTCAAGAATACGCGCGGGTATGCCTAAATCACTCGATCTTTTATTGATTGGTACCGAATAGCCATAAGAACTCGGCAACACCACTTCCAAAATGACATGATTTGTGGCCTAATATTGTGGATGAATACAACCAACCCTCGGCCCCGCCCTCGTCGAGGTGCTCGACAAGGTGATTCCGGTACGGGACACCACGACATGGTCTGACCGGAATATTGGCTAGTGGAGACAGGTGGGTTAAGAATACTCCTCTTGCGATGGAGGCTTATATAATCGGAGTATCTCCACCGCTAAATCAAGATGTAAGGCCGAGTTTTTCCAGACAGATGGTGCGATGTTCGGGGCCAAACGGAAGGCCCGAGCTCGGAGAATCAACGCCGCAAAATATGTCAGTATGTAGCACGTGTAGCGCTTAAAGCCAGAGAGAGAAACAGAGGGGAAATGTAAGATTGCAGGTGTATGAGCCGGTGTACTGCGCGTAGAAAAAAATAGAATCAAATGGCCAAAACTCACTACTATATTTATGAGTTATGCACGCTATATCTAAGAGACTATCGCGAACACTATTAAGAGAATCGTTTGTTTACTATAGCGGCTTATTTACGCGTTAAGCGATATAGGTCACATTCAATAGCAGATAGCATTAGTAGTTCTTTAGATACTACGGACACAGTGTAATCGATGGTTGATGATTGGCAATAATTTAGCAGAACACTTGAAATGGGTGGAGTTGAACAAGCCCCAGATACCCAATGGGAAGATCATTAACATATTGGCAAGACATGGCTCTGATCTGAGTATGAATAATGGGATCAGGGGATTAAATGGACCAGGAATTCGAAGTACGGGTCAGATAGGTCAGACAAATCAGTCGATAGGCTCGCAGCAGTCTATTCCACGATCTGGTGCTACTAGCGCCCCGATCAACATACGACCGCCATCGGATCAGCCGTTGCAGCAGTCTACGCAAACAGCAAATAATATAGGGGCTCTATCGGTACCGGAGACTGGGCTGGTAGCCAGTAGAAGTCGAATTAGTAGCGTATCTGGTACTGATTGTGCGACCAGTACTGCTAAGCATACAAACATGCAATCAGAGAGTAACAACAATAACACGATTAATAGCAATAGGACTACAAATATTAATAATCCCAAGGAAGAGGACGACGAAGATGTGATAGATCTCACGATGGAGACGCCTCGAAATCAGAAGAAGCAAAAATTGAATCCTGATAGTCAGACACTGCTTCAACAGGCATACATACGGATCTGTGAGCAAAAGATAGCTTTGTTGATGGAGCGGTACACAACGATTGAATCGACTGCTATTTCACTTGATGATAAAAAAAACTACCTAAACAAGACGTTTGGGCCAAAATTCAAGCAAATCAATGGGAGCCAATCTAGATTGAGGGAAAAATTACTGTTTTTGACGGATGATTTGCAGCATGATGATACACCAAGTCTCAATGAACTTAATGAATTCCCTAACTTTGATTCGGACAAAATTTCTGATTCGCCAAAAAACTTAAACACGATAGATAAAATTGACTTTTGCTCTCAGTTCTCTGAGATTAATCAAACTAATATTGCAAGAGCTATAAGTACTCGGGAAAATTTAGAATCTACTAATTCAAACTCGCAAAAGCCCTCTTCTGTGACTAATGAAGAAAATGAAGTTCATTTAGTGGATGAAGCTTCATCGCCATCGAGATATGCTGACAATTTGAACGAGGCAAGAGAACTTGTTATGCAATCTAATTTGAGGAACAAGCTGAATGCTCCAAAAATCATTTATAATAGCGAGAGTGAAGATGATGAGGACAACTTTGGAGATAATACCATGGATGGCTTACGAACCCCAAGTCAAGATAGAAATGATGAGTATGACCTAGGCAGTTTTATTGAATTTGAACAACAAAATTTGGATAATGAATCCGTTGACGAGTCATATATCGAATCTCAAAGAAACAAGCATGAATCGGATCACTCTGATAACTATACCGAACTTGGTAGTGATAATGAGATGGACAACATTAGACTAAGTCCTGATGTGGCGGAGAATTTTGGTATCAAATACAATGATCTACCTAATTCGGAAATTGATCTTATCTCAAACATCGATAATAATAATGATATAAATGATGACAATGGTAATGATGATGACATCGAAGAAATAGAAGATTTTACAACTCAATTAAATCAAGAAAGAGAATTGAATAATACCGAAGATATAATCGAAATAAGTTCTGATGATGAAGGTGTTGTTGCGAACTATGATATGTTCGTTAAGCCGTCATCAACAAGTAAAAACACCCTAATGGAAACGAAACCAAACCCGCTTATCATTTCTAAGTCTCCGCTTACAGAAAATAATTTAGCGATGAATGTACCTTCTCAACATTTGGATAGTGATATTGATTTTAGCGATGATGAAGATGAACTAATCAATATTTTAAATAACCATAAACCCAATAAAGAAAATATTCCTCCCAATTCAGAAGCATTCATAAAAGAGGTTTACAGTAAATTAAATTCAGTCTTCAAACTTTCAAATTTTAGACCCAATCAGTTACACGCTATAAGTTCAACTTTGAATGGAAAAGATGTGTTTGTTCTTATGCCAACCGGTGGAGGTAAATCATTATGCTATCAATTGCCAGCATTAGTAAAATCAGGTAAGACTCGGGGAACCACTATAGTAGTATCTCCGCTAATTTCTTTAATGCAAGATCAAGTTCAGCATCTATTGAACAAAAATATCAAGGCGGGAATGGTTAGTTCAAAAGGTTCCGCATCAGAACGGAAATTAACGCTTGATTCATTCAGAAATGGTCAATTAGATTTGGTTTACTTATCTCCCGAAATGATTAATGCATCGCAGCATATTCAGAGAATTATAACAAAATTATATGACATGAAAAAGTTAGCCAGAGTTGTCGTTGATGAAGCCCATTGTGTTAGTTCTTGGGGCCATGACTTTAGACCAGATTACAAAGGCATGAATTACTTTAAGCACAATTACCCTAAAGTTCCTGTTATGGCATTAACGGCAACTGCAAATGAAAAAGTTAGAATGGATATTATTCACCATCTAAAAATGGATAATCCAATACTATTGAAGCAAAGTTTCAATAGATTAAACTTGTTTTATGAAATTAAATGGAAGACATCAAATACTCTAGAGTGGATAAAAAATTATATCTTAACTAAACAAGTTAATAGAACTGGTATCATATATTGTCATTCGAAACAGTCCTGCGAGCATACATCTGAAAAACTAAATGAATGGGGAGTAAACGCATCGTATTATCATGCGGGGCTTTCGCCTACCGACAGGTTTGAAATTCAAAACAAATGGCAGCAAAATAAACTTCAAATTATATGCGCAACCATTGCTTTTGGAATGGGTATTGATAAGCCTGATGTTCGATATGTTATCCACTTGTTCATACCTAGAACTCTTGAAGGATATTATCAAGAGACAGGGAGAGCTGGTAGAGATGGAGCCTATTCTGAATGTATAATGTTTTATTCCTATAAGGATGCCCGGTCGTTACAGAATATGATTCAGAGAGACGAGGAATTGGATCGAGAAGGTAAAGAAAACCATTTAGCCAAGTTGAGGCAGGTCGTTCAGTACTGTGAAAACACTACAGATTGCCGCCGGAAACAAGTTTTGCATTATTTTAATGAGCAATTTAACCCAATAACATGTAATAAGAAGTGTGACAATTGTATCAATTCAAGTAATATCACCATCGTTGAAAAGGATGTTACTGGATACGCTAAAGACATATTAAAATTAGTCAAATCGATTCAGGATGATAGGGTCACCGTTTTGCACTGCCAGGATGTATTCAAAGGTTCAAACAATAGCAAGATTATGAAATTTGGTCATAACTTAAATCCGTATCATGGTAAAGGTAGAGCGCTTGATAAGACTGATGTTGAAAGGATATTTTTCTATTTATTGAGTGAAGGATGTCTTTGCGAATACCAAATTATGAAAGGTGGGTTTGCCTCAAATTATGTTAAACTTGATAAACAGGCAGAATCTGTATTAAATGATAGAAAATTTATTAAGATAAATTTCAGCTCTGAAAGTAAACAAAGATCTACAGGAAACGCTGCTGCCGGTGGAAGTGTGAATCCCACAAATGACTACCAGTTCCAATCATTTGTCAGTGCATCACGTATTCAAATCCCTTCTGCAACTAACATTGGAACTGCTGGAGTACAAAACAGCGACCATATTAAGCATTCGTGTAATGAATTGAATAATATGAGAATGCAGATAATGGTCGATCTGAGCTTGAGTTCGGCAGAAAATGTTATCAGCGATGATGCATTGAAGGACATGGCTCATAAATTACCCACGAACAAGCGTGATTTTGGAAAATTGGCTAGTATTACTAAAGACCAGTTGAACTACTTCCCGCAGTTCAAAAAGCTACTAGGTAGCTTGTCGAAAGAACGCAAAAATCAAGTGCCGGAATCGATCTCATCCAGTACAACATCTCCTTACTTTGATAATCAACCAGACTCTAATGATCCTAGCACGTGGAGAAGCACATACTCGCAAACTGAAAACTCAACTGCATACGTGAATATCAAAAATAAATATAGCAGAGGTAACAGAAGGTCCAGTCAGTCAAGCCAACGAGGTTACAAAAGCCAAAGAGGTCGCAATCAGAAGACTCAGCGGAGTCAACGGAGCCAGCGTGTTTCCAAACCTAGATCAACCCAAAAGAACACCCCGAGAGGGATGCCTTTGTGATTAGCTCATTATTTATTTATTATTAATAGACATTCTACATATTTAATTGTAAGGTGCACTAATCGATCTGGTCACTAATCGAATAGCAATGTCTAATAGTTAGTACCCTGGTTGTTATATCTAGCTCCTAACGCCTTCGGAAAAGCGTTGAGCACCACCGCACGGATATCAATGTCCACCAAACATATCGACTACGATTGGAGGACCCCCTATCTCTGTCGCTTATATACCAACAACCAACACTACCCCATTTTGAAATACCAATCTGGCGAATATCGATTCTTAAACGTTAATGGGAACCTTCCGTAAAAACTCCGCATCCTAGACCGAAATAGCCATTATTTCGCAGCCATTACTATTACCCTATATCCCGATCGCCACGGTTATTGTCTATCTACTACATACGAGTGCTCATTGAGCCAAAATTCCTCACTACCTCAACCTTTCGTTCGCCTAAGTTTCTCTTATCGGCCCTGCCTTTGTCTCCTTTCTACTACCTACTCCTCTTACGCCTCGAACTACAGCACCGCATTGCACGTGCATAGACGAACTGTCCTTATGTTTTTTTACGTCAAACACTATCAGAAAAATCTGCCTGCACCTGCGAATGTCCACAATCGACCATTGAACCAAATTGCCGGTCTACCTCCGGTACTACTCCCTTACAAACTACATCCCATGTTCCCTCAAATTGTCATCCATCTTACTATTATCTAATCTGTCCCCGACGAAAAGGCGCTAATACCGTGGCCAAGAGTTTCTCTCTCACTATCTAAAGTGCCCGGCGCTATAAAAACTTTTCATTGGTTCACCACCAAGAGGGGAAGAGGGGTTTCGAATTAAACCGTTCATGCCAGACGGGCATGTTTGCTTATATAATCGTTCTCCTCAATTACGGGTAAATTCATGGATTGCATATACTGTCACAGCGAAGCTTTTTCTACGTTGGGTTATTCCGAAAGAGTATGAACATCTGATTAAGCGTTATACCGCAAAAGCTTTTTGGCGCAACAATGTTGAGAATACCGACCTTAAGATCCACCAATGAGCACCTTTGATCTAGTATCAAACTCATTACGAAATGCCACTCTATCATTTCGACTAATTATTATATTGATAATAGTAAGATGGGTGATTCCCCCCACCGTCCCCCACCGTTTGTATTTGGGAGGCATTTTGATTTGAGGAATATTTCATGTATTGTAGCGCCATGCTTTGGTAGGCGGAATGTGCTTCCTACTGAATGGATGGTTTTGGTGTAGTGACGGAAGCTGGAACTAATTGATAGGAAAACGGCATCCACCGGGAGAGGCCTGGGTTCCGGGGCTAAAAAGGGCCGGGCACCGGTTGGCCCGAATGTCGACGTATGCGAAACGGTGAGAGTCCTTCGTCTCAAAATTGATGAGGATTCGTTTGATTCAAGCACATTTGACTGGTGCACATGCAGTACAGGAAAATTGTTGGCTAAATTTGAACGATCGCAGCTACTCACCGGAACCATCTATAGAGCAAAATCGGAGTCGGAGATTCAACTCAGTTGAAGTACAGTGAGGTGGGAGAAGTGACACAAAATCGCTCCTGAATTTTTTCATACAAATAAAGAGGAGACCTAATTAGATTAATAAATTTTCCAAAGTTAATTGATTAGCGTTGTTTTAATAAACATTAATATATATTACGTTTCCAGAGTAAATAAGGGTTTTGCTCAGGTTTATAATACAAGTACTACGTTAATGAAGATACCTACTAATTTAGCAACTGAAAATCACCATGATAATAACCTTATAGAGCAAGCATGCGATTCGTGTCGGAAAAGGAAGCTTAAGTGCTCTAAAGAGTCACCAAAGTGTTCGAAGTGTATTCAGCACAATTGGTGTTGTTCGTATAGTCCAAGGACAGTGAGGTCTCCTTTGACGAGAGCTCATTTGACACAAGTGGAAAATAAGGTCAAGTCCTTGGAAAATCTAATTACATATTTGTTGCCGCAGGAGGTGAACTCGAGAGGGATCGACCAATTACTCTACCAAAACACGTTCAAGGATGTGTTGAGGCCCTACAAAGATATGTTGCAGAATGGCAGTCCATCCGACGAAAGACAGAATGGTACTGGTGGGAAGCAGCGTGGGAGCACACTGGGTAGTGGTAGCGGCACGACCACACCACCTACATTCGAAGAGGACCTTAATCAACTGAGTTCGGTTACTCCCCAGGGGGAGTCTCCGGGAAAGGGAGAGCATTCGAGAATTAACACAAATGGATATAATTCATTGGCCCAGTCGCCCTCGTACTCGATCTTTTCGATGGACGACTCAATTTCCAATGCGTCAATAGACCACTCCGACCACCATGATCACACCAGAATCGACAACGATAAAATCAAACAGGAAATAATTGATGATTTCATATTGAATAGCATCCCCACCGACAACAAGCGGAACCAATGTCAGTTTATAACTCCCTCGGCCATCAAGCACGAATACTCTCCATACCCATACCAACAGCACCAACCACGCCACAAGAACATATCGAACACAACAACATCTGCAACATCACTCACATCTCCCTCGTCGCTCCTCTCACTTAATTCGTATGGCGACAATGTAAACGAAAACGAAGACGAAGAAATACCTAAGAAATCCTATGCTTCACCTACGAGGCAGTCCGCGAATAAAAAATTTGAAGATCTCGACCTTTTGATTTCATCGAACGGCATCAACAATGGTATCAATGACTCTAACTATAACTTAATATTTGATGAGGTTATGGATGATTCACCCATGATCAATGGGTGATGAGTATTTCCCGGTTGGTACTTAGCTAGAGGCCGCGGTTATGGTTTGTACGGTTAAGAATACTGCATGCCATTTTAACTTTATGTGTCAATGATTTATTTTGTTTCTGTGTCAATTTTCGTCCTATATACGGTTTATGCTATATATGATTGGTTTAATAATAAATAAGTTTTAAAGGAACAATTTCTATCATGGATGCAAATGAATCGCAATCCAGAAATTTAAAATATAAGAAGTCGTGCGAAACTACAAGAATGTTGTACTCTTCAATTTCCGATATCGCTATCCGCTGGATTTATTATACTTGTTTATCTACTACTCTTGCCAGTTACGTCAAGATAAAGAGCAGTAACTGGAAATATATATTCATCCGATCAAGATGAGATCGCAGACAATGAAGAACTTGATTTCTTTGAAGAAAAACATCACTCGGAGGATCAAGCAAACCCTTGAGGAGATAGCAGAGAATTTAAGTCATCCACAACAACGCCCGGCGCCAGTTCCAATACCTATACCTGTTAGAAGCGGTAGAAATGCAAGCAGATTGGGCAAACAATTTTCTAGATATTACAGCACGTCAAGTAACTTTACTGGTGGTCATTATAAGTTCCGGGCATTCCAGTTTTTGAATGTGAAGTACCAGAATGGAGGAAAGTTGGGAAGAATAATCCAGAATAATTCCAACTGGATCAGATTCAATATTCAGAATTCTAATTTCAACCAATACCGATCATTTAGAACGTTTCATAAGTCATTTCTTTACAATAATTTTTCGCAGAGATACCAATCACAGTTTGGTAACAAAATGGCGAACATGAACTTTTTCAGGCATCCCAATAGTGGTTCACCAATCAAGAATCTAAATCTCAATATCAGGGCGTTCATGAATTCTAAGAAGTTTGATACTTCTGATCCTAGCACGTACAAACAAAACTTGGTATTACATCTGAAACCTCAGGTCAAGAGTAACATACGTCTTAATGTATCTTTGACTCCAAAGTTCTCTGAACTCACCTTGCTGATGGCAAGAACTGTTTCCTCTGCTGGCTGTGAGGAGACATCTCATAAAACTCAGCCTTCGAATGGTTGCTACGTTGATTTCCCAATGAATAGTAAGTTTTCTATTCCAGCGATGACTATCTTGAACAATGAAATACTCGATGAATTAATGCAAGACTTGAAAATTCTCGAATCCAAGATTGCTGAATTGAAACTGGATTTACAGAACTTATTCGAGTTAGGGGAGTTACCGATGAAATATTTACACGATCAAAATATTATTAGAGTCTACTTTGCTAATTGCGATAAAGCAAGATTAGAAAGCTTGTTGAGGGAAAAGAATATCAAGAACGGGATAATTTATGAAGAAGCTGTTAATGGATGTTCTTCGGACTGTGCAAACGTCTCCGAGGCTGATATTTTAAGTTCTTATTACGGCTCGTCATCCTCGCTCGGTTCATCCACAGAATATGACGATGATATCCTATCAGACTCTTCTCATCATCCCTTATCAAGTGACCACATTATCAGACCAGAGAGCGGAAATCAATCTCAAAACTCACAGCATGTTAGCTTTAGCGACGAAAATATATGTTGGGTTTGATTTATAAATACGAGTTATGTATAGCACTTTTCACGACTTTGTTTATGTTCACGTTTTAATGATTTTATTTATATTAAGTTAATATTGATGTGTAAGCAGGCGATATGAAGTACAACCTCGTTGTATATTTTATTATAAACGATTACTATTACTTCACCTCAGAACATTTAAATTATCAGTAATCCAATAGCAGCATTTCCTATTTTCTACAGAATGCTTAAAGAATTCTGCTGGTATACGACAAGCTTTGTTTCCAGTTATAGAGGGCAGTTTGGTCATTGAATATACAGAGATTGTTAAAAACAATAAACTGAAAGACTGTCGCCTACCATTAGAATATATAAGCAAAATACTGAGAATATTGATCACCATGAAGTGTAAGAACTTCATAATTATACTAGTAACTTCATAATTATACTAGTGTTCAATGAATTTTACATCGTCATACGAATAGATCGAGAGACACTAATACATATTTTCTCTAATTCTGTGCGAACTACAGAAACAGCGGAACGTTCGCTTTGACTTTTTTGTAAACAATATACGTGGTTAATAATCACTGATAACGATAAAACATTAAAGAATATTCATAATGCCACCTTCGGATGATGAATTTCAAGATGCAGCTTCGAATTCCTTTCCTACGGGAAATGAAGTAGACAATGGTAAAGAAGCACCTCCCATCACGAATCAACCTACAAAGAGTAAGAAGAATAAAAAGAAGAATAAAAAGCAGCAACAAAATGATACATCCTCTGTATCTTCTTTTACTGGTGAAAGTTCTAATTATGAAAATAATAATGAAAGTAATGAACTTGTAAATACGAATGAAAAGATTGATCTTGCCAATAATGACGACCCCATAGATAAGCGCGGTAACGACGATACTATAACTGAAGATGCTGAAGATGTTAATAACCCGGTTGGAAAACAAACAGAACAGCTCAGAGTAGTTTTGCCTAATCCAGTGAAAGTCGTTACACCAGATACTTCGTTCATTGACGAGCCGGAAAACGACAAGCAGAGTTCCACTTTACCTAACGGAAAACCCAGTTTACCAAACAGAAAGCCAATTCTGGAATGTTTGAGATTGGACCAACCTTCAGCCCAAATATTGGAAGGTACAACTGAAGCTTCCAATGATAAAATGAATACAATTTCCAATAGTTATAGAAAAGAAAGTAATAACTTCTTATTAGAGTCGAAGTTCAATCAATTAAATAGAGAGTTTGAATCGAAAGATTTAAAGTTGAAAGAGCTGATTAACTCTGGTACAGAGAACATAAAGAAGACTTTCAATGACATTAAGAACACCGTTGGAGGGTTCAGTGACATGTTTGATTATCAAATAGATTGGGAATTTTGGACCAGAATTGTGAACGATTATGAATCTGTTATCCAGAATGAATCGAATGAATTGAATAATCTCATAAATAAAGGTATACCAAAAGAGTTCAGAGGCATAATTTGGCAACTAATCGCTAAATCTAAAAACTTCCAATTGGAAGAATTTTATTTCAACTTGAAGAGTGAATCCTCAGTCCATGAGAAATCAATTAAAAGAGACTTAACAAGAACCAGTTTTTTTACAAATGTTGAACAAGTCAATAAGGGTGAAGAATTATTTAATGTGATCAAGGCATATTCGTTATTTGACCCTGATGTAGGTTACACACAAGGTATGATTTTTATCACTGTTCCTCTAATAATGAATATGAGTGAATCCGAGTGCTTCTGTTTATTGGTGACGTTAATGAAGGATTACAATTTAAGATCTTTATTCTGCCCAGAAATGAAAGGATTGCATTTATTACTATATGAGTTCGATAGATTATTAGAGATAAACTTGCCGAATTTGTACAATCACTTGGTCAAACAGGGTATTAAATCTTCAATGTATGCATCCCAGTGGTTTTTAACGTTTTTCGCCTATAAATTCCCATTGGATATAGTATTAAGAATTTATGATATTCTTATCACGCAGGGGATTGAATCGATCTTAAAGTTTGCCGTTAACTTAATGATAAAGAACGAATCAAACATTACTCTGCTCAAGTTTGATAAACTTTTAGACTTCTTGAAGAATAACTTGTTCAATGTTTATGTCAATGACGAATTTATCAATGGTAGCAATAGCACAAATAGTAGTCAAAGCGATTTGTCGGGGTCTGGTGTTTCTAGACGGTTTTCCTTGTTAGGAGGAAGAAGAAGCAGTGCTGGTGGTGCTCGTTCAAAGTCCCATAATTACTACAAACTTAATGAATTGGTAGATGACTCGATGCAAATTAACGTCATTCCATTAGATTTGAGTAAATTTGAAGCCGAATTTGAAAACATATATTTGAACGAAAAATCGAAGTCCACAGAAATAGAGAACTTACGGATCGAGAATGGCAAGTTGAGGCATGATATTAAGCTCTTAGAGACTGACTTCTCATCATTAAACAGCGATCACATAAATATTGTCCAGAAGATGGTCGATATAAAAGTAACCCTACCGGACATTGAAAACGACAATGAAGATCTCCAAAGATCTATTTCCGAGTTGAAGGACAAAATAGAAGGTTTGGAATCAAAGATAAATGCAGGTTCGGGTGATAATAACAGCTCAGAATCGAGCCTAGGCCTACAAACACCTGCATTACCAACAAGTATAGAAAACAATATCCAAGAACTATTAGCTATAAATGCCCAAGAAACAGAAAGGTTTGCCAACTTAGAAGAAGAGTTGAGTAACTTGCAAATGGAAGATGAAAGATTGAACACAGAGCTACTGAACGTTAAACAATCCAAATGGTTATTTAATAGGTGGAAATAGTCATATATTTATCAGAATATAGGATAACATTCGAAGTACATACAAACTGCTTATAGAACCATACATCAATATCATTTATACTATCAAACGTGATTGTATAGGGCTATAACCCGAAATATAGTCGCGCGGATACCAACTTTTTTGTTGCTCGCTCTTGCGTCAAATTTTCACTAGTATATAGTGAAAAAAAAATTGAGTACTAATTATTTCTATATAATTATTCACTATCAATAAACTAGAGCAAAAATGGGTAGAGGTCCAAAGAAGCACTTGAAGAGATTAGCAGCACCATCCCACTGGATGTTGGACAAATTGTCCGGTACTTATGCACCAAGACCATCTGCTGGTCCTCACAAATTGAGAGAATCTTTACCATTGGTTATCTTCTTAAGAAACAGACTTAAGTATGCCTTAAACGGTAGAGAAGTCAAGGCCATCTTGATGCAAGAACACGTCAAGGTTGATGGTAAAGTTAGAACCGATGCTACTTTCCCAGCTGGTTTCATGGATGTCATCACTTTAGAAGCTACCAACGAACACTTCAGATTAATCTATGATGTCAAGGGTAGATTCACTGTCCACAGAATCACTGCTGAAGAAGCATCTTACAAGTTAGCTAAGGTCAAGAAGGTCCAATTAGGTAAGAGAGGTATTCCATACGTTGTTACCCACGACGGTAGAACCATCAGATACCCAGATCCATTGATCAGAGCCAACGATTCCGTTAAGGTTGACTTAGCTACCGGTAAGATTACTGACTTCATCAACTTCGACACTGGTAGATTAGTCATGGTTACAGGTGGTCGTAACATGGGTAGAGTTGGTGTTATCACCCACAGAGAAAAGCACGAGGGTGGTTTCGATTTAGTCCACATCAAGGATTCTTTGGAAAACACTTTCGTTACCAGATTAACTAACGTCTTCATCGTCGGTACTGAAGCTGGTAAGCCACACATTTCTTTACCAAAGGGTAAGGGTATTAAGTTATCCATCTCTGAAGAACGTGACAGAAGAAGAAATAACCAATTACTTAACTAATCATTTTAGGATGATCGTAATATAGTTTATAGTCTTTAGTTACACTGAATGTAATATATTTTTAATTCGCTTGTAGAGATTATCACCGTAATAGTTAACACGAATTGCGAGTCTCAGATATCTCAAAATATACCAAATATGTGCAACCAGGATACAAATCATATAATCTTTTCATAGATATCGGTGAACATGATTGAAAATAAGAGGAAATATCAGTATTGTTTGATTGCATTGGCATTTATTTTAGGTCTACTTTTGTTTCCTGTTCCATGGTTTCCATCAAATAAGCAGCACAAATCTGACTCGTCATTGATAAGGAATATAGAGTGGAATGATATAAACTTTATTCACACCACTGATACACACGGTTGGTATTCTGGACATCTTAACCAGAAACAGTACAATGCTGATTGGGGAGATTTCATATCTTTTAGTAGTCATCTAAGGAATATAGCTCATTCAAAAAAGCAAGATTTTTTGTTAGTAGATACTGGTGATAGACATGACGGGAATGGACTCTCGGATGTAACAATACCAAATGGTGCTAAATCTTTGCCAATATTTATGAGGCAGGACTATGACCTTCTTACTATTGGAAACCACGAATTATATGTTTGGGAAAACTCACAACAAGAATATGACTTGGTACGTGATCATTTTAAATCGAACTATATTAGTACTAATGTAGAATACAAATTACAAAATGGAACATATGCTCCTATAGGTCAAAGATATAAGTACTTCACAACACCCATTCAAAGTATTAGAATATTGTCATTTGCATTCTTGTTTGATTTTACTAGGTATAATTCGGGGACAAAAGTCGAACCAATCATGAAAGTTCTAGACGAAGATTGGTTCAAAGATATTTTGATTGATCATCCTGCTGATGAAGTTGATTTACTTGTAATAATTGGCCATATTCCAGTAAGTCATAACGATAAAGAGTTGTTCCAATTACATCTGTTCTTAAGGAAATATTACCCTAAGACCAAAATCCAATATTTTGGTGGGCATTCGCATATAAGAGATTTCAGCATTTATGATGAATACCTGACTGGTTTGCAAAGTGGAAGATTCTGTGAAACTGCTGGCTGGGTAAGTATTAATTTAAAGTCTCCCAAAAATGATTTGAATGGGGTAGATAAGGTTAAAAATACTTTCTCGAGATCCTACATTGATTTCAATTTAAACTCATTTATGTACCATACGAATATAAGTTCAATTGAAGAGTTTAATACGGGCCTTGGATTGAATGTCTCAAGACAGATTAGTGATACCCGAAAGGAATTGAACTTAGGAGCAATAATTGGTTATGTTAGAAACAGTAATTATTTCATGGATTATGTCTCAATAACGAATCCTAAAAATATTTTTAAGCTCTTGACTGATAAAGTATTACCTACATTAGAAGTTGAAAATTCAGATCTAGCAACTTCAGATCAGAGGTTAATTATAATTAATACTGGTTCGATAAGGTATGATCTATACAAAGGTCCATATACTTTGGATTCCCAGTATATAATTTCTCCTTTTGAAAATGATTGGGTAAAATTGACATTACCTAAAAATTTTGCTATAAAGATAGCTCCCAAGTTGAATGAGTTGCAGTATATTATTCGTTCTTCAAGCGATAATACATTGGATAACAGACGGTTGTTACCTGAGCATCAATATTCCAGACTTCTCAGAAACGACTATGCCAATTTCAATAAGCTTACTGAGGATTCAGGGCAACATCATTTCGAGAATCGTATGCTCCAAAGGTTTCAAGAAATAGGTGAATTGAAGCCTGTATCTCAAAAAAATAAGTTGTCTAAAGGTTATGTCACGTATGACGATTTCGGTCATGACGGTGATGATACTTTACATAGGCCGGTAGTGAACCACCCTATTCCCAATGTTGTACAATCGGAAGAATTAGTCGATTCTGATGGGGACTCCTCCGTCGATATTGTTTTCTACAACTTCATTACTCCAAATATTTTATGGGCGTTAAAGGAGATCGGTTTCGACGACGATGTGAGCAATCAAATCGAATTTTATTCCAAGAACTATTTGGGTCTATTATTAAATGAATATATTAGAAATCATGATATATAGTTCTTTCTATATAATAGTACAAATGCATTTTCTATTTAAATTAAATTTGAATCACACTATCATCAGGTTTGTATGTGAATCTGTAGTTGTAACTATTAATAGACTCACTTTCAGGGTTGTTCAAAATAGACTCGTCAACTATCAAATTCAAGTTAAAACCAAACCATGATCCCCAGACAGGCCTCCCTTTAACTGTGGCATTATTTATAGGATGTATCAAATCGGATGTTTCCCCAAGTCTGTTTCTACCACTTTCATCAAATCTTACTTTACCACTGGCATTTATAACAAATGTTCCCGTGCCAGGTATTAAATGGCTGTCAAAACTATTCAACTGATGAAACGTCAAAGGCGATAACAACCATTTTTTTTGAAATTCCAATTTTGCATCATTATTTGTGGGTATCAATGGCTTCCCATTCATAATAATTGCACATTGCGGCTTGAGTTGTTTTCCAAATTGTGTTGCGTATGATTCAACATTTGGAAATTGTTGTGATGGTCCCTGATATTGGATATCTAACGACGACAATATCTTTTTCAAGTATGGCTCTATCGGTTGTGCTGATCTCAAGTTAGTATAAATCCTTGGACATCTACTTTCATTTTCAAATAAACTAGCCACTTACTTGGATCTCGTTGTATGTTTGACATGTTGTATCAATTATATGTTGGCAGCAGTAATAGTCTTGCTAGGAAGAATGATTCAAGTCTATATGGTACCTACTGTAAAATCAAAAAAAACTCAGATGATGGTTATATTTAGTCACGTGGTGTTCTTTTCTGAAGGATAAGTAAGGGCTCATACGACAGCAATAACTGCAAACTATAAGAGGAACCCATCGTCGAACATATCTAGATTGTTGACCAAATTATACAACTAATACAACATGGGAGGTGACGATCATCATAAATTAGACCAAGCTAAGAACATTGCTACCGGTGTTGCCGGAGGCGTTGGTGGTGGTGCCATTGCCAATATGTTAGGTTTAGGCCAAGTTGGAGGCATCGCTGGCTCTGTTGCAGGCTCGATTGGTGCTAACAAGGCCGAACATAAGGCTGAAGAAAAGAAGTAGATATATCGCTATATTTTGTCCTATAGTTTATAAGTAAAGAATAAATTTTTTTAGAGAATCAATGTAAGGCAATCGGGAATATCTTCGATTCGTACGAAAATGAACCTACGCTCCTTGAGGAGTTCATTTTGCTGGTGGTTAGTTGTAGCGCTATCTGAGGATTTGCCGACTATGCTCTTGTCCTCGTGCCTGAACAGTCGTACGAAACGTCATGTCAGTGTCTACACCTCTAACTACTTATTCAGTCCTACTTTACATACACAGTTAATATGAACCTTTTATGCCTGGTACACCCATAGAGGCCTCATAGACGTGGCTTGTAATATTTTCACGTGCGTTCTCTCGCAGTACAATAGAGTCAGCCAGGACCGAATGACTGCTTCGTTGAGAATTACCCCTGATATCGATACATTGGATCTATAAAACCAGTCTCATGGGGCCAGCTTCCTTTCACTAAAATTCATACTTGAATAATCCCAATTAGTAAAATGCCTGACGATAAATTAAATATGGCCAAAAGCATTGGGGCCTCGATCGCTGGTTCAGTAGGTGGTGCCAAAATAGCAGACAAGTTGCACCTAGGCAACGGTGGTCATATGGCTACCAGTATTGCTGGAAGTCTTGGTGCCAACAGTGCTTTACATCACTTCGAAGATAAGGACGGTAAGAAATAGAAGCACGATTAGCATCATTCTCCTGGGCATTTTTGGGAGTGGTGCACGCCTTTTTTATATATATACACTAGAATCAATAAATCATTATCAATGATATTTTTATGCCACTAAATGTTCTATGCCACCAGTGCAGGTGTGCCATTGCTTGTAGGTGTCCAAATCGGGGCATGTCTGGCTCCGAATCAAATGTAAAATTAGGTAAATCTCTTACTCCTGAACCAGCGTTTCGCAATGTCAGGGTGCGTTGGTTCCGTTCGAGGAAATTTAGCCAGCATCGCACCACATCATATTCAGATCCGCTGCAGACAACCCCAAAAAAGGCTGGCACCTCTTAAGTATGGCTGGGAATCAGGCCCGTTTAGTCCAAAAAGTCCTGGATCAGGTAACTTGCTCTGATCCATCTGTGTGTTATAAATATATTTGCTTCGTCCCTGGATCATTTAATTTGTAGCTTTTTCTGATTTGTACAATTATCTACAGTCGCTCATTAGTACTCTTCGTTCCTTCGATCGTTCGTTCATTCATTTATTCATTCATTCGTTACTTATCACGTTTCTTCGTTGGATACTACATTCTTGTACTACCATATCTACTAGAGTCGTTCAATTATATAATAACTTCGCAATTTCAATTTAATAGAGGTTATTGATTTTCGCATAAATTTCAAATCAAAAGCAAAAAAAAAAAAATAAAGCTCGTTGTTTAGGCGACAGGATCCAAGTCTAAATCCTATCGTTATTTACATTATATCAATTTCGGACATTTGCAACCATTTCATATACACACTATTATATGAATATTTCATTCATTTTCAACCAAGTTTAATTGCCCCACTCATACTATTATAAAATATAATGAGTGTATTGAATACAACTAACATGTTTAATAATCAACTTAATTCGTTTACTTCGGGACATATAAATTCCCGTAGCTATAATGAATTATCCAGTAAATTAAAGGCCAATATTAAAAATAATAAGTTATCGCAGCCATTGCAACAGTACGCAGAGAATGATGTACACTACATCAAGAAGAGATCATACAGTGATTTATTAAGGGAAAGTTCCGGATTCGGTGATAGGGGTAGCATTAAGGGTCAGGATACCAAGAGATCGAGAACCGCACCACCATCACCACCTTCACAACCATACGATGCGAAGTCCCAAGTCAACAGTATACCTCAACTCAAGTTCAAAAGCAGCAAAACAAACAGCAATGTGAGATCAAGATCCTTGTCACCAAACAAGAAGTTTGTAACATGTTTGTCACCATCTAACTCACCAAGCTTGCCTAATACTCCACATTCGTCGCCATTGAAGAAGCCTACGTTACCTAGTATCTCGACCGTGTTACAGTCGACTCCAATGACACCAAAGGCCCCTCTTAGGTTGAAGCCTATTACCCCTACTGTTTCGTTGGATTACTTTGACACATACAAGCCAAACGATGAAAACTGGAGATATGGCTTAATGGACACCATAAATAAGGGTCCTAATCAATTCAATCTCAACCAATATGATTACCTCAACAAACACAAGATTAGCAACACCTCGTCGGTTCCATCGCCAGTATTTGTCAAGGACAGACCAAGCTTTAATTCAAGAATAAGCTCAAAGATAATACAGAACTCCAGTCCAAGAGTCAACACATTTGACAAGTCGAACTATCCTCCATGTATACAAGAAAAAGTATATTCCGAGAGAAAGATTAATTTCCCATATGAATCCAATTACACCTATTTAAATAAGACCTACTTGAACGATGTCAAGAAATACCCTGAATATCTTGAGTTGGCACATTCATTGATTCAATTATCCCAGCCTCAATCTAATACTCCAGATTCTCATTGTCAACCAATGACCCCAGTTAATACTAGTAATAATAATCCGGTCAATGACACTGTAATAGAACCTATCTATCAACAAACAGTGTCACATTCGGCGTATCCACCAACATCAACTCCTCCATCCTCAGCTCGTTTACCAAATCCTCAGTATAATTCATTTTTAGGTATCATATCAGAAGGGCCTACAACGCCTCCAGGCGAGAATGATAATAAGACTAAATTCATCCCTGTTACACCTCCTTCGTCCAAGTGTAAATCGAGGTCTGAATTGTTAAAATCATCACCAAGGCAACAGCATCAACACGCTCCTCGAGTCTGCATTTCATGTGGATCTGATCAATCCCCATGTTGGAGACCCTCTTGGTCGATTAAAGAAGGACAATTATGCAATTCTTGCGGTTTGAGATACAAGAAAACTTCCGCTAGGTGTCTCAATGATGAATGTAAGAAAATCCCAGCAAAGGGCGAATGGTCCTTGATGCAAAGTAAAGGCAAGTCTGTATTCGAAGACGGCTTAGAGGGATATAGTTGTTTAGATTGCGGATGGAGAGTTGAAGTTAAAAAATAGTTGGCATTGCATTTATCTACTTGATAAACATTTTTTATACACCATTTTTATTGTTTTGCATTGATTATTCATATCGAATACGTTTTTATTCAATTCTTAGTAATATATATTACATAATGTTTAGTGTTATTTCTACAATAATATAATTAATTATAGTTAAGTTCTATTCTAATACTTATATTTATGACCTACGTTAGCCTCATTTTTGTCATAGTGTTGCATACTAAATTAGGTCTTTTGCATAAAATTAATATTTTGTAAAAATGTTGCGAATTCTGCAACATTCCAATAATTTTGATTAGCAGAACAGTATATAATAGAGAATATAAATGGCCATGTAGCTGAAATTACATATGTTTCTGAACTAATAATATCACGAGAATACGATACCACTTTACCTTCCCAATGTCCGGTTGGTATCTTATGGATAGGATTATTAGCAGAGAATATTTTGACTTTTGCTTCGAATGTATTAGAAATTCTGAAAAATATACGTACATTCGTGAAGTGCTTTCCTTTCGATATAAGGAAAACAGAAAATATCGGGAGGCTGAATATATAAATGAGGAGAGGGACGCAAAACGGAAATGGTCTAGCCAGAAAAGGGTTAAGTTTCATCCAACGATTATCACCGAATATATCGAATCTGCTTGGCAAGACAAAGAGGAATTGGTTAACTACCGGCGAGATTTGGATTTGCTATGCCCAGATATGCCATACAGCGAAAGATGTCAGAGAAGGAGTGAAAATAGCGACAAAACAAAACAACGATCTCGCAACAACAAATTGTACGATAGGCTCTACATGGACCATCCTTCGGGACTCTATAATTTACCATCCTATGCAGACTGTGATTGTGATCTAGCATATGAATCATACGCTATAAAGAAAAAAATCGCTTTAGAGCTATCGACGGCCCCTCCTATATTCTCCCATATACATCCATTTGACGACAATTTAACACTATTTTTCAATAGTTACCTCGGCAGGACAATAGACAAGAGACCTATTTATCAGGAAAATCATAGTGACGAGAGAATAGAACTGCCCTATTATGAAGAAGAAGAAATATTTAACATGCCCTATGAGATTGAAAGAAGACTATGGGTCTACAGAATAGCGAAATTTCGAGAATGGAAGTTATCATTTTCGAAAAACAATATTGTTTTACCAACAAATGACAATACCACTGGTATCTGTAAATACTCATCCTCTTACGATTGTGATACTTATCCCTTCAAACGTATAGAAGATCCTATGATGTACTTTAAGTGCTAGTTTTAAGACAGGTCGTTCATTAACCACGATTTCGTATGACTTCTAGAAACTTCTCACACTGAATACCTATATTGATAACAATTCGTAAAAAGCATTGTTCATACTATTGATTCTATCTTTGATATTTTGTAATAACAGTCATGTCTGATACAATTTCAATAACCATTAAGTCTTCAGGGGACACTAAGTATGAGGTTACAGTATCACCAACAATAACAGTTCTCGAATTAAAGAATGAAATCGCAGATAAGTCATCCGTTCCAGCAGATCGCCAGAGATTGATTTACTCAGGAAAAGTTTTGAAAGATACAGAGACAGTTGCATCGTACAAGGTACAGACTGGACATACGATCCATCTTGTTAAAAGTGCTGGTCCTAAGACAAATAATACAGACAACGGAGGAGCCGCCGCCTCCACAGATGCTACGAGGAACGAGAGCGAATCGAGCGGTAATAACAGTGGCGTTCCATCAAATATTGCAGCAGGCCAAGGTTCATTTAACCCATTAGCAGATTTAACTGGGGCACGTTATGCTGGTTACACCCAATTGCCTTCAGCATCAATGTTTGGGCCAGATGGGGGTATGAATTCCGGTATGCCAGATCCAGAACAGATGTCGGAAATGATGTCCAATCCTATGTTCCAAGAAAGCATGAATGCAATGTTGTCAAATCCTCAAATGTTAGATTATATGATAAATCAATCTCCTCAGTTAAGGGCTATGGGTCCACAGGCGAGAGAAATGTTGCAAAGTCCACTTTTCAGACAAATGATGTCGAATCCAGAAATGATGAGATCCATGATGCAAATGGGTAGAGGTGGAGCTGGTGGAGCGGGTGGCTTCCCAGGATTTGGGGGTCAAGGGGGAGCTGATGCTTTCCCTGCACCAGGTGCTAACCCTACTGTCGATTCTAACGCCGATGCTGATGCCACTGGTGCCACCAACGAAAACGCAAATGCAAGTACAAATGCACCTGCTAATCCATTTGCTTCTATGTTTCCTGGAGGAATGCCACCAATGGATCCGTTCGCTTTACTAGGTGGAGCTGGTGGCGCTGGTGCAGGTCAAGCTGCTCCTCAAGATAATCGCCCACCTGAAGAAAGATACGAAGAGCAATTAAGGCAATTAAACGACATGGGCTTTTTTGACTTTGATAGAAATGTTGCTGCTTTGAGAAGAAGTGGAGGCAGTGTTCAAGGGGCTGTTGAATATCTTTTGTCAAGTATTTAGAGAATCTACTACTTAATAAGTTTTAGGTAGCTGATCGGTTTTGTGTAATTTTAGTTTCTATGTGCAATCGTTCTTCATTATTGACTAAAGCATGATACAACAGTATATAGTGTAAACGTAATAGTATTTAAAATATATTGAATATACTACTTTGTATTGGTGTATTTAACGATGGTCAGCGAAGACAAGGCTGTTGATATCAAGAAGGAGGAACAAAATAATTCAACGATAAATTCAGCGCAAGATGATGTGCAGAATAAACATCATGAGGCAGACGAAACGAAAGAAGATATAATACGACTGAATAATAACGAAAATGAAGAGAAAGACATCAATTCAGAAGGTCAAGCAGAGAAAAAAGCAGACATACGCGAGAAATTAGATGGCCACGAAGTTATAACCAGTGATAATAAGAGCATTCAAAATGAGAGGGAAGCGTCGAACGCCGACGAAACTGTAATGAATACCGAAACCATCAATGAAGAAGGGAAAGAAGCGCCAATTAATACACTGAATAATGATGATGAAACACATTTCAATAAACCTCTGCTCAATTTGCCCGACTTGGAAGTACCATTTTCGGAGAGAAGGTTAGCACCAGAAACTATTAATTTATTAAACAAACCAGTAGACAAAAAATTAACAATGTCGGGAATAGAATTTCAATTTTCCAAGATCATTGGAGTAATATTAAAGTCAAAGGGACTTGACTATTCGGAAGAATTTCTCTCTCAAATGAACGACTTAAGTATAACTTATTTTCATGACATAATAGAAACGTTGAGGAAATTCACTGAGATACAAAGAAGAAAGAAACCATCCATAAGTGACACCGAGTTATGTTTTAGAATGAAGGGCATTACGGCCGACAGATTGTACAAAGAATATGAAGAGACAAAACTAATCGCGAATAAATATAAATCAGAGATTGATCTTGTTAAGAACCAAACCACGGAATTGATCAATGAATTCAAAGAAGACAACAAGTTTGATGAAAATGATCCGTCGCTCCCATTTTTTACAAATGAACACTACGAAATTACTGAATTAATTCCAAAGCAATCTTCTAAGCCTATCTATATTCCATTTTATTTGCCTGACCTTCCCCCAGATTATACTTACCAAAAGACTCCTAAGTATATGAATATGATTACAGATTTGAAGCAATTGAGGTTGAAGTTAGTGGATGAATCCAGATTGACAGAAAAGTCCTTATATAACTTGATTGACGATGATGAAAAAAAATGGAAAGAAGATTTCGAGAAACAAATTCGTGACACATTACTGGAAGTTGACGATGATATAGGTAGCGAAAACGAAAATAGTTTAATGAGTGAAGTTGATCAAAAGAACCAGACGGATATAGAAACTCCAATACCTGACCATCAGTTGGAAGGACAAGAAACTAAGCCTCAGCTAACAGAATTAAACAAGAAAGACGGAATCCTAGACGAAGTAGACGTGGTAAGCGAAACACTACACAATAAAGCAGGAGAGCAAACTACCAAAGTTGATGGTGAACCGCGAAAGCTACTTCAAGATGTCAAGACATTTGACTTTGTTGCATACGCTCAAAAAAGACGTGACTTAGAACGTTCGAAAGAGCTTGAAATAGATCGTAAAAGAAAATTACGAGAGTCGAACATTTTTTTCAAGACTGAGAAGTATTATTCGCCATACGCTACTTTGCCAGTAACACATGAAGTTGATTTATATTTTGCCAATATTGTGCAAGATGAATTCAAGTCAGTTATCGGGTCAGTGAGGACAGCAGAGAAGAAGAAGAAAAGAAAAGTCGAAAAGATTCTCCGCGAAAAGGCCGAAAGAGAACAAGCAAAAGAAAAGGAAAGAGAGAAAATGGGGTTGGGATTCAGCTTTGGTCCAATTAGTCATATGCTGGATGACGAGAACGATGATAGCGACAAGGACGAGGATATGGGCTTCCCAACTTTTGATTTCGGCGATAGCATTGAATCACAAGACAAACAGGAAACCGAAGCAAACCCAAGTGATGATAACGATGCAACTGAAATAGGTTCGATTCCAAAAGTAGACGGAACTGGTGCTACCCATGTCAATACTGACGACGAAATGGATTCTGATTCCTTTGAGGCTGAATTGGAAGATGCGATTCCGGTTGATTCTGCACCTAAAGAAACCCTTCTTGAAAACAATATGAAGACTTCTAATGATCTTCCGTCTGAATCAAGTGACGACGAAATAGAACTTGAAGATGTATAATAGACATATTAATACAAGTACATAGCTTCTTTATCTATTCTCGTAAACTTGTAGATACCGCGACATCATGTGACCGAGACCTGGATAACTCATCGAGATACCTGGAATTTAACAACAAGTATTCTTGTTGGCTAATTAAGAAGATATATCCATCAAATCAATCTGTATCAGAAGTGTACATATTTATACAACATATAAGTCGATAGGCAATTCAATAATTATCATAAAAAAAATGGCAGAATTGACCTCAATTACTTTGCCACAGTCGGTTCCATTCCCAGTGACAATATCATCCATTTTATGTAGACAAGGAGAAACCGTTCCTAAGCATCAGACATTATTCAAATATAAATATTGGGATTATCAAGATGACCCTAATTCAAAAGAGGAAACACCTCCTAAGATTCGTGTGGAACGTATTGGAACTTATGAAAGCCCAATTGAGGGAGAGGTGAATAGTATCAATGTATCTGTGAATGATGAAATTGCTCACAGTGGCGTCGAATTATGTTTTATTAAAGAGCCTTGTGCTCATGCCGTCCAATATGGAGGCCTATGTGCATTATGCGGCAAAGCAGTCGAGGACGAGAAGGATTATTCGGGATATAATTACGAAGACAGGGCAACCATTTCTATGTCTCACGATAATACAGGATTGAAAATAAGTCTCGACGAAGCAACAAAGATTGAAAATAATACAACTGATAGACTTAGTCGTGAGAAGAAGTTGATCTTGGTCGTTGATTTGGATCAAACTGTTATCCATGCGACTGTTGATCCAACGGTAGGGGAGTGGCAACTGGACCCATCTAACCCAAATTATCCAGCCGTGAAAAATGTCAGAAGTTTTTGTTTGGAGGAAGATCCAATTGCTCCCCCAGGATGGACGGGGCCAAAATTGCCACCTTCAAAATGTTGGTATTATGTTAAATTACGGCCTGGATTAGAGGAATTTTTACGACTGGCATCAGATCTCTATGAAATGCATATATATACGATGGCTACTAGGAATTATGCTTTGGCTATTGCAAAAATTATTGATCCAGAAGGAGAATACTTTGGTGACAGAATATTGAGTCGTGATGAAAGTGGATCATTGACACATAAGAATTTGAAGAGACTTTTTCCAGTTGATCAATCTATGGTTGTAATCATCGATGACAGAGGCGATGTATGGCAATGGGAAAGTAATTTAATCAAGGTAGTCCCGTATGATTTCTTTGTTGGAATTGGTGATATTAACTCTAGCTTTTTGCCTAAGAAATTTGGCCAACTAACTGGCCCAACTAAGAAAAGAAAATCAATTGCAAAGTTAGAAGCACTTGAAAACGAAAAGAATTCTACTGATGATGAAGATTCTGAAGCTAATGAAAACGACAAAGAGGCTAGTGAAGAGGAAGATAACCCGAGCCAGGAGAATGATACTCCATCGTCATCACCTGTGGATAGAATATTAGAAATGGGAGGCGGAGAAGATAATGCAAATTTACTCATGGAACAATCTATAAGTAGAAATATGTCTTTGGAACAACAACAACATGACAGACCTTTAGCAAAGTTACAGCATGATTTGGACAAAATTCATGAACATGATTCGCATTCTCCATCTGGTTCAAGTTCACCTGAAGAAAGTGATGGCGATAAAAAAGAAGAGGAAGATGAGGAAGATGATAATTTATTGTACGATGATGATAATGAGTTATACTCGTTGAAGAAGGCGTTAGAGAGAATTCATTCAGAATATTACAAAATATTGGCTGCAAACAAAATAAAAAGTCCTCATTTAAAGCCAGATTTAACACATATTATTCCATTTTTAAAAAGCAAATGTTTAGAAGGCATCACAATTCTATTTTCTGGTATTTTACCGTTAGGTATCAACTTAGATACGGCCGATATTGTCATTTGGTGTAAGCAATTTGGTGTTAAGGTTGTGAACGAAGTATATCCTGAAGTGACACATGTGGTATGTAGGGATCCAAATGCAAATTCATTTAAGTCAGGCCCAACGTTCAAGGTTAGGGTTGCAAAGAAGATCTTACCAAATGTGAAGATAGTGAACCCAGATTGGCTATTTGCTTGTTTGAGTGCCTGGGGCAAGGTGGAGGAAACAGATTACTTAGTTGAAAGCGAAGAGGATAATTGGTACCTAGAAGACAAGGATCTCAAAAAATATCAAAAGGGATTGGACTCTCAAAAGCAGAAACAACTCAATACAATCGAAAGCAGACCCAGGTTTGATTCTATCGGTTCAGTAGAAGAATATGATTTGGACAACGCGAATCAAGAAGTTGATGATTTCTTGGCAGGAATAAGTGAAGATGACAACTCAGAAAAGGATGATGATGATAACGATAATGACGACGACAATAACGACAATGAAGACACAGACAACGACAAGGCCGAAGTCAGCAAACAGTTCGATTCATTTATTAAAGATGCATACAAGGTGAATAAAAAAAGAAGTCTAGAGGTTGACGAAGACATAATCTCTCAACAAGAAGCTACGTCTAAGAAACAAAGGACACAAGAAGACGAACCAGAGAGCGAGGTGGATTTGGACGAACTCGAAAAGGAACTTTTGGATGGCTTCGACGATATGGAAGAGGCCAATGTATGAATATTCCTCCCATTATATATTTTAATTCTGTAGCATAGGTTAATATAAGCTTTTTTCACTGTAACTTGCCTTTCCTATACCTATCTACAAACAATTGGCCGAACTCATAGATACACTACATTAGGACTTAAATGGTTCCGTACATTATATACTTGAATCAGCCATAACGTTTATGTACACCCCTATCCTGTGATATAGTGTACGCCGCACATGCGAATCAACAAGCCAGCAATATTTTTAGCACCATAGCCAGCCACCAAGACATTTAATTCCATGACGATTTGATCCGACCGATGCGTTTGTGCCGATTTGCTTGGTTCATATAGGATCTCTCTCTATATATATGCTTGCGATTGGCAAAAAAAAATAAAATCCTGGGTTTAGATCATTCAGTTTATATTTAGAAACAAATCACGAAACTGATTTATAAAGAGTGGGTGCGACGAATTCACATAAAGCCCTTGTGTAAATAAACAGTTTATTAAATCAAATATTGAATAGAAACGTGTATTACAACGGAAATGTTTAGAATAATCAGACTAATAATCATCTTGCTTTCGATAGCGACGACAATATTATCGATATTTGCATTAGTTGGATCGTACAAAAATGAAGCCTACTTGACCAAAATATATTTGTTAGATTTCCATCTTACTGATTTAGATGTGTCGCAGCTTATAGATTTCAATGGATTCTCCAAGAGAGATACTATACAGCCTGATAGTAAGAGAGAAACTATACAACCTGATCGTACGGTAGTGGAAAAGGACCTTGCCAGTAGTTTATCAGATATTGGATCGACTATCAGCGGCATTGTTAATTCAATAACTTACGAAGATATGGGGTTGGCGCAAGTATACTCGATCAGTTTGTGGGGTTACTGTAAGGGAGAAGTTAAGGGCAGTTCAAAGACAAAAAAGGGCTTCGATAACTCGGATATCGATTTTAAGTGGTGCTCCGATCCTAAGCCAGCATATTACTTCGATCCGCTAGAAATTATCAAACACGAATTGAACAACACTATAAATGATAAGGTTACAGGTGCGTCGGGTAGCATTGACATCTCGTCTGATGTGAGAACGGTATTGGAAGAAATAGTCGATAATATTACATATGAGACTTTAAATTTGCCTGGTAACTTAAACAACCAGCTTACGCTTTTAAATAACTTGACTAAGGCTTCGTTCGCATTGATATTGATCATGGCTATTTTGTCAGCTATTGGTGTATTTGTTCAACTTATTGGATGTTGTGTGGACCCAAGTAATTGTTGTCTTTCATGTATCAACTTTCTCTTTCAAACATTGGTTTTCCTCACTGGTATTATTGGAGCAGGGTTAGCAACTGGCGCATATATCTATGTGAGAAAACAAATTAATGAAAATACCGGAGAGCTTGGTATTAAGTCTTTCTTATCGATTGCATTTTATGCATTGATATGGTCTGCGGTTGCCGCAGCATTGTTAGTGCTTATATTCACCATTATCGGCCATTGCTGCGGCTGTTTATCTAGTAACAGAAAGAAATACAAGCCTCTTGATGCTCCTGCTGTACCTGAAAAAAATGGCTACGAAATGGGATATAATCATCATCAAAATTATTAGATAATAATTTATATTAAACTAGCTAAACAGAAGAAACTTATAAAGATCTTCTGGTCCATGCCACTGGCAACTCACTGCATCTCATACGTAACATTATTCTTGTTCTCTTGACTCAAATCAAATATATGCCTTTATGATTCTATATCTTTTATAAGTAGTGCGATACGCAAAACTGTCTAGGCTCTCATCTCATATCTCATATAAACAAGCTACAAATTCAGCTATCTAGTAAATCTATTAACCAGTACATAATTATAGAATGATATGTTCAAGTATGTAAGGAATTCAAAATTGTGAACGATTAAATTAATTCAGTTACTAACTCGTATCTAGTTTCTGGCGAAACGCCGAAGGAGCCAGTTATTTCACCAAAGAGTGGATCGATCTTTGAAAGAAGACTTATCGAGAATTATATATCGACTAGTGGTAAAGATCCAGTTAATGATGAGGATTTAACAATAGAAGAATTGGTAGGCATCAATGACGTAGCTCCGACAATTGTACCACCAAAACCACCTAGTTTCAATTCAATACCTTCATTATTATCGACTTTTCAAAATGAATGGGATTCCTTAGCATTGGAAGTCTTTACCTTGAGAAAACAGTTACATAACGCTAGAGAAGAGTTGAGTGCTGCTTTATACCATCACGACGCGGCGGTAAGGGTTGCAGCAAAGGCTATCAAAGAAAGAGACGAAGCTAGACAGGCATTACAACAGTTGGCAGTATCTATTGGCAAGGACGAGCCAATGGCGGACGTGGATATAGAATCTACTTCAAATGGAGATGTTAAGGCTTCAGCTCAAATACCGGTTGAAATAATTAATCAAGCTCGTGACGAGTTGTTCCAATTACATAAATCCCAGAAGCCTACTTTACGTATCACTACTGAGCAAAACATAAGCGTAGAGTTCATTGCAAATCACGCACAGCCTTTCAAGAAGGCAGAAAATTCATTCGTGAATGCATCCAAAAAAATTATTTTAGTGGGATCGTCCACAGGGTCTGTTGCTGTTTACGATTTTAATAATCCTGGAAAGAACAATGTGAATAAAATCACACATAAGGGATTAGTGACGGCTGTGAATCAAGTCATACATAAAGATGAACAAGTACCTATACTTGCGTATAAGGAAAAGGTGTTTGTTAAAGACAACAAGACTTTATTTGATCATAATCATGAGGGTGATATCTTTCAAATAGTGTCTCATCCCAAATTAACTAACCTTTTCATTTTATTCTCGCGTGATGGAACTTGGTCTTTGAATGATCTTGACGAAATGGCTGTTTTATTCCGCTCCTCGGAAGTAAATAATATATCTTGTGGTGATATACACGTAGATGGTGCTCTATTAGGTACAGGCACTGAAAATGGAGAAGTAATAATTTACAATTTGACATCAGGACAATCTGTATCTAATATTAAATCCAAATATCCAAGTATTAAAAAACTTTCATTTGCATCGAATGGATATTGGTTGTTAGTTTCATCTGCTAATGATGAGAATGCAAGTTGTTTGGACGTAATTGATTTGCGAAAGAATGCCACTATTCATTCGGTAGAATTTTCGAACGAATTGATTGATTTTGCAATTGATCCTTCTTCGTCGATAATCATTACATATGATTCGAGGAACATTCTAAGTTTACATAGATTTATTAAGAAAGGTAAGAGATGGCTTGATAATTTAAGTGAAAAAAATATTGAGGAGTCGAACTCTGCGTTGTTAAGCTTAGATATATTAAACACTGCTGATGATGAAGAATTTAAGAATACTGGAGAGATAAAAATTGCAGGCGTGACTCAAAATTCTTCTATATTAGAATTTCAACTAGCCTATGCGTGATGTTAATGTAATGTATTCTATTTGTATTTTGCTTCCGTTGTATAGTATATATAGTGTTATTCAGAAATAACGTAACATAATTTTAATAAAATTGAGTATAGGATTATTTAACCTGCACAAATTTATTCTTGTATTCTTTATCTTCAATTGCCCTTACCTTCAACAACTAATAATATAATCATGGTAGAATATTCTGACGAGAAAATTAAAACTTTGAATAATTTAGTAAAACAGTGGATATCTGTTGATATCAATCCAAAATCAAGAAAGGAAATAATTGAACTACAAGAAGAAGGAAATTATGCAAAATTGAATGAGAAACTTTCGAAGAGAATTGCGTTTGGTACCGCCGGATTGAGGTCAACGATGACTTCTGGTTTTGCGCATATGAACGATGTTACCATACTTCAGGCTTCTCAGGGGTTGATCAAATATTTACTCGAGAAAAATGAATCAAACCAGGATTTATCTATTGTTGTGGGTTATGATCATAGATTTCATTCCCAGAGATTTGCTGAAATTACAGCCAGTGTTGCTTTGACCCAAGGTTTTAAGGTATATTACTTAGGATCAACCACTAATTTATCACGGGAATCTATTGAACTTTCAGAGACTGAATTTAATGGGCTCCAAGAAACAGATAGAGGATATGTGCATACGCCATTAGTACCATTCGCCATTGATTATTTCAAAGCCTCTGCAGGGGTTATGGTCACAGCGTCTCATAATCCTGCTCAAGATAATGGGTATAAAGTCTATTATGGAAATGGTTGCCAAATCATACCTCCAAATGACATAGGAATAGCTAAATCTATTGAAAGAAATTTGGACCCTTGGCTTAACCAGCATGTATGGGATATTGTAGGGAATTTCAAGAAAAATGCTGATAAGTTATTATTTGGGGTAAAGGGAAAAGCGACAGGAATGTATGTTAATGCAGTCTATGAGCTTTTAATCCAAAATCATAAATTAAGCTATGATTTTACTTACACTCCAATGCATGGAGTAGGAATGGAAATCTTCGATCAAATCATCTCTTTATTTGAAACAAAATCCGATATCAAGCTTGTGATAGAACAAATGAATCCAGATCCCGAATTTCTGACGGTGAAGTTTCCTAATCCAGAAGAAAAGGGTGCATTAGATTTGTCGATCAAGAATGCAAACGAACTGGGCCATAAATTAGTTATTGCGAACGATCCGGATGCGGATAGATTTAGTGTTGCCATTAGGTCACATAGGACAAATGAATGGGTGCAGTTAACAGGGAATGAGATTGGGTTCTTATTTGCAATGTACGTGATTGAAGAATTAACTCCAGAAAATAAGCTAGATAAAACATACCTAATTAATTCTACCGTTTCATCGCAGGTCTTAGCCTCAATGGCACAACATCATGGGTTTAAGTTTACTGACACCTTAACTGGATTCAAATGGATTGGTAATAAGGCCATTGATTTGAAGAAAGAAGGCTTTAACGTACCTTTTGGTTACGAGGAGGCGATAGGTTTTATGTTTAGTGTAGCTAATGATAAAGATGGTATCTCTGCACTAGTTATGTGGCTACAATTGTATGAAGCTTGGTTTGCAAACAAAGAGAACTACGATCCTGTGGATAAACTAAACGAGGGATATGAAAAATACGGTTGGTATAAAGAAGTAAATGGTTACTATAAGCTAAACGATCTATCGATGACCCAAAAAATATTTGAAAACACTATTCGTAAATCGTATGAAGGAGGGCCTCATCCACAAACTCTAGGGGATGCATTCTTAGTCGATTCATGGAGAGATTTAACCCTAGGATATGATTCTCTGACCCCCACCCATGTGCCTGATTTGCCTGTTGATCCTACTTCACAGATGATTACTGCCACATTGAAACCAAAAGATGCACATTCAGATAACGAATTAGTGAGATTTACTTGTCGTGGTTCAGGAACTGAACCCAAATTAAAAATCTACATTGAAGGAAAATCTGATGTTGGTGAAAAGCGAGCTTTGTCTCTTGCTAAACTCTGTTGGAATACCTTGAAGGCAGAATGGTTTAAACCCGAAGAAAATGGATTGCAAGAGGTTATATAGATACTACATATAGATATTTATATACACGTGCGAAATTTTCAGTTCACTCGCGAGTATTGACGACTATTTGAAAACTAATCAGATCATAAGTAGTACACTGTTTATCTTTTCAATATTTGATTTGATTTGATAGACGCCTTGATATCATCTGACATTGATAATTTAGTTTTAGGAAATGGTTTTAGATGACTACGGTAAAAAAACCGATCTTCCTATGTATGTATTCTATGAAGACGATTTAGTTGAATGAGTATTAACAAGTGTTTAGACATAACAAGTTTAACCCGAGAAGATCTAATCCGCAGTCGTTATACAAGAAGATAGCAATTGGTTTTGTTTCTGCCATATTGATATGGATATTATTTTTCCGATCTAATTTTTCTAGACAGACAACGGCTGAAAACCAAGTGAGTGGTAAGATGGACCCTGATAATGACTACGAATTATACCATGCTACCAAAGATGGGATAGAAAAACAGGATATAACAGGGTTCAAAAGTGAAGAGGAGAATTATAAAGAAACGGTGGACTATTACGACCTTAATGACTATAAAGGGTCACCGGATGGATTGTCCCAGGGAGACGTAGTACTATTTTTGATGCCTTTAAGAAATGCAGAAAGCGTACTTCCAATGGCATTCCATAACTTAATGAATTTGACTTATGATCATTCGCTCATTGATATAGCATTCTTGGTTTCTGATTGTTCTCCAGATGATCGTACGTTGGAAACCGTTTTCGAATATTCTGTGGCTTTGCAGAATGGTACTTTGTTAAACAAACTACAACTCGGTGAACGCCAGAGACATGCTAATGTAATTAAAGGATCATCTGATTTGTACCAATTATACATGGATCCAGATTATATGAATAATATTAAAAAGTCTTATAATCCGGAAACATTCCACGAAAATTATCGTAAACCGTTCAGATCAATATCCATTTTCAGAAAAGATTTTGGGCAAGTGATAGGACAAGGCTTCAGTGATAGACATGCTGTAAAAGTTCAAGGAATTCGTCGGAAATTGATGGGGAGGGCCAGAAATTGGTTGACTTCTAATGCATTGAAATCATACCACTCATGGGTTTATTGGAGAGATGTTGATATTGAAACTTGCCCGGGTTCAGTTATTCAAGATTTAATGAAACATGACTACGATGTGATGGTGCCAAATGTTTGGAGACCATTACCAACATTTCTAGGCAATGAACAGCCATATGACTTGAATTCCTGGATTGAATCTGAAGCTGCGGTAGAATTGGCGAAATCCTTAGATGAAGAAGATGTTATTGTAGAAGGTTATGCCGAATACCCAACTTGGAGAGTACATCTAGCGTATATTAGAGATCCAAATGGAGATCCAAATGAAATAATTGACATTGACGGTGTGGGTGGTGTTTCTATATTAGCAAGAGCTCGAATTTTCAGACAGGGTGTTCATTTCCCAGCATTTACATTTTTAAATCATGCTGAAACCGAAGCGTTTGGTAAAATGGCCAAATCTATGGGATTCAGAGTTGGTGGTTTACCACACTATACTATTTGGCATATTTATGAACCTAGTGAAGACGATTTGCGAGAAATTGCTAAAATGGAGAGGAAGAAGAGGAGACAAAAAGGTAAATGACTTCATCACATAAACTATATATTTATTTTCATCGGTATGTATTGTATACGTTTGTTAGCATTAACTAATTTAATCAGGACGCACATTAAGTACTTTAATATCGCTTACAATAATAACTTTCACTTTAAAAATTAACAATTAACGAAAATAAAACAAGCAGTTATGTAAAATAAAGGAATTAAAACATTATCAGTAGGAAGGCAGGTTTTGTAATCTACGTATAACCGTATGGCTATACTCAGAGATTGTTCACATCCATGTTATTCATCATTAAATATGTTAAAATTCTCTTCACGAGTCGAACCGAGCACTTGCCCAAATTAACCAGCTGGCTAAATTTGCAGTGCACGACGACTGTGCCAACAAGGGCGAAAATCTCTTCCTTATTAATTTCCTCAAACTCTATTAGTTTACCTTTTATCATAGATTTTACAATGTTGATTGATTTTATAATGTTGATTAAGCTACTTATATAAATATATATTCAAGCATTTAAAGATTTTATATCATGTAATTATACATAACCAACTCAATACAGAATACATTAAACCAACAGGATATATCGCTAACAAAATCCTTCCTGGTAACACACCAGAGCATTTTAAACTCATGACCCCAGAATATACACTCCAGGCACCTAGAATTGACATGATAACCATTCTAATCAATTTCATTTTAACAACTAAAGTACAAATAAGAGCACCGCATGTAATTGGAAACATTGAATAGCCCGTAGCACTGATTGCAGACATAAACGATATGTTACCACCTAACAATTGAATATTTAAACCGATGACTATAAAGAATAGCCATATAAACGAAAATGAACCAGAGAATACCAGATTTGTTTCATTTTTAGAAGCAGATAAGCCAAGAGTTAAGGAATATGCTAAAGAAAAAATCAATGGCCCCCATAAATCCCATTCTAGAGTTGTTTGAGAAAGCAATTCATCTCCAGTTACTCCTGTTTCTCTATCCTCATCATCATCATTTTGATTCTCCGACACTGAGATTCTTCTCGCGTTTACTATCAGCTGGGGCAAGTTAATCCCATTATTGCTAGCAAAGTCAATTAACCTCACTTGTTGTTTGGCAGCCAAGCTGGCTAATTGCATTGGCCATACAACTATTGCTAGTCTCCGTCCTATTTGTGATAAATCCCTTTTCAATGTGTTCCACACAGGTTCGTCAAGCGTATCCCCTCCGCTGTACTGGCGTTCTTTTATAGTATTTGAATCTGTAAATGCCTTTGATTTCGTGAAGGGAGCGAATGTTGATGATAAATCAACCTTTGGGCCGAAGGAAAACGATGAGAACATCGAATTAGTATTAGTATTAGCATTGGCATTGGCGTTATGAGAAGAAGTTGACATAGGTGTGTTCTCTGTTACATCTGGTTGAATTCTTTGTGATGAAGTCTCATCTTCATCGGCTATAATGAACTCATCAGCATCTTGTGTAGAATATGATGGAGGATTCCAATTACCGGACAGCATTGATTTAATATTTGTTTTTATAGTACGGAATAGTAAATCTACAATTTATGTATTCAAATCAGGATTTTTTCGAATGAAATCGATAAAACCTGTATATTATATTTCACCTTTTATTTTCAGACCTACGATTCTAAATAAGTATCATGCCTAGATTTTACATGTAGCCCCTCAAGTCAAATGCTTAGCTGACTCTACCTTATCTTTTTCCAGAGTAAGGTACTTTACAACTCTAGCTGGGGATCCGACGACAACAGTGTTGGCAGGAACATCTTTGGTAACCACTGCCCCAGCCCCGATAATACTGTTATCCCCAATTGTAACATCTTGCAAAACAACAGCATTTGCGCCGAACCACACATTGTCACCAACAGTTATTGGACCAGCTGATTCCTCACCTGCTAATCTTCTTTCCGGGTCTATTGCATGAGTGGGTGTGCAGAATGTAACATTAGGGCCACACATGCAATTGTCCCCAAACACAATCAAACAGCAATCAAGAAAGGTGCAATTAAAATTACAATAGAAGTTCTTCCCGGCACTCACGTTGAATCCGTAATCGACAAAAAGTGGAGCTTCAATAAAACTCTTATCTCCAAGTTTGCCAAATATAGTTCTTAAGTGCTCCTCTCTTGCTTTGTAGTGTTTTTCTGGATCAAAATCATAGTTCTTCATTCTAATGTCAGCATAATCAATAGCTCTTTCGTGTGCTAAATTCCTTGCCATTAATAATTCATGGTCAAAACAATTGTAAGGAAGCTGCAGAATCATTTTCTCGTACTCTTTATTCCCCTTTGGGATACCTGTCAAGTTTTTATAAGCATAGTCTACAACTTCTTGCTTTATAGATTCCTCAGTCATCTTCAGTTTGGTTACCAGCTCTTTTACTACCTTTAATTAATACAAAGTTCATTCATTTTCTAATATCGCTATGTTCATCGCTATTTATATTCGCCAAGAAGCGCGGAGAAACTACGACGGATACAGTTCCTAAATGGGCAGCAAAACAGTATCACACCAATATGGGACCTAACAATCCATAATCATCTAAGTATTTATTTATCTAATCACAAAATCTAAATAGTAATATTTATAGCACTTTTAGACAACTAATCCTTTCCAAAATCAAACCAATCAGGGTCATTTGTCCTTACGGGTCCAACTTCTTCGGACAAATTATTCAAAGTCGCAAAATCATCTTCTCGTAATTTGAATGTCTTTAAATTGGAAATTATTCTAGATTCAGTAACAGACTTTGGTAACACAACACTACCTCTCTGAATTGCCCATGATACCAATAGCTGAGCCAAATCAACTTTGTACTTTTGACTAATACCGATTATGGTTTCATTCTTAAATAATGGCGAGTCGTCTGATCCCAATGGCGAGTATGCCTCAAGCATGATATCGTTTTGTTTCAAAAAATCAAATAACTCTAATTGTGGAAACAAAGGATGAGCCTCAACTTGATTTACAACAGGCTTGACCGTGATATCTATGCCGTCTAGGATCTTCTTGGTTTGTTCAATGTTGCAGTTTGAAATACCAATAGACTTTACCTTATTAGACTTCACAAGCTTTTGCATTTCCTTGTAGGTATCAATATAATTCCAGTCCTCATATGGTTTTTCTGTTTTAGGATCAAGAGAGAGTGGCCAATGCATAATATACAAGTCCACATAGTCCAATCCCAATTTTTGCAACGAAGTATCTAAAGCTTTACTAACCTGTTTATGATCGGTATTCCATAATTTTGTGGTAACAAAAATCTCCTCTCTTGGAATTCCGGATTCCTTGATTCCCCTACCGATTTCTTCTTCATTGTCGTACATCACAGCTGTATCAATATGTCTATATCCAGTTTGCAAAGCAGTTTTAACAGCTGCATGTGCACCTTCTTTTCTAGTAGCTTTCCATGTTCCAAATCCCACTGCTGGAATCTTTTCACCATTATTGAAGGTATAATAGTCTGTGTTGTTAGCTGTATGGGTCGTCATTATTGTTTTCTCAGTTATAAGCTTATTAAAAAGATACCTTCATAAATAAAATAAGTGAAACCAACTCCTTTTATACGGTTCTATAAAGCAATCCAATAATAAAGTAAAGTATTCAATATGCTGACGTAATATGTTGCAACCTCACTGCAAACTTATTTTGACTTTTCTACATATTAACTACGACCGTACTTTTATATATATCTACTGTGATCAAATGCTGTGTTTTGCAATGTGCTTAGATCATTAGCATACATTAGCTATAGGCAAACATGGAAATGAAGTCCATAGCCCTTCAAGAGCATATTCTCACATATCAACGATACGACATGGTTGCTTCAAAATATATATATAATTAACAGTTCAGCGGAAGTCCATGTCTGATGATTATATGTAGGTTGAAATCCGTTCGAGTACCAAAAAAAAATGTATATTGCGATCTATATATTTCATTAATCATCGAAGTTATTGAAATCTGGGTTACAGGTTCTAACAACACCATCCTTTTGCGACAAATTATTCAAAGTTTTAAAGTCTTCATCGGATAACTTGAATGTCTTTAAATTGGAGATGATTCTAGATTCAGTCACCGATTTAGGTAAGACAACAGTATCTCTCTGAATGGCCCAGGAAACCAATACTTGAGCAGGTTCAACTTGGTATTTCTCGGCAATAGAAACGACAGTTTCATTCTTAAATAATGGAGAATTAGAAGAACCTAATGGAGAATAAGCTTCAATTACGATATCATTCTTCTTCAAATATTCGGTTAATTCAGGTTGCGTCAATAATGGGTGTGCTTCAATTTGATTGACAACTGGCTTAACAGTAATATCCTTGTCAGCCAATAATCTTTCAATTTTCTTAACAGTGAAGTTGGAAACACCAATAGCTTTCACCTTTCCAGTTGCCTTAAGTTTTTGCAATTCCTTGTAAGTATTCAAGTAATCCCAATCACTATATGGTTGCTTGGTATCTGGTTGTACAGAAACAGGCCAATGGATTAAATACAAGTCGATGTAGTCCAAACCCAATTTCTTCAAGGAAGTATTCAATGCCTCTTCAGCCTTCTTATGGTCAGCATTCCACAATTTAGTTGTAACATATATTTCTTCTCTTGGTACCCCAGAGTCCTTAATACCCCTACCAACTTCTTCTTCATTACCATAAATCGCAGCAGTATCGATATGTCTGTAACCATTTTGCAACGCTGCCTTAACAGACTTGTAGGCAGCATCCTTTTCAGTAGCTTGCCAAGTACCCAAACCAACAGCTGGGATTTTATCGCCGTTGTTCAACGTAACGGTATCAGTATTATTCTTTAAAATGACAGCCATGTTTAATTGTTCGTTCTTTTTTTTTTTTGTTTAATATCTAATAAATCTAAAGTGATAGTCTAAATAATAGTTAATAATACAATTTCACAAATCATTCAACTGGGTGATATTTGCCACTTATATAGTCCAGTTCGCCAGACGTATCGCGACATTGTAACAATGCTTTTCGCGGAGCAAGCTGTGGATTAATTACTAAGAAGGCATTTCCTCGGAAGAATTATTGCGTTATATTGCTTACATTATACACAATCGAACTATGATAGCTTTTAGTTGGAAAGTCTTTTCTTGCGAAATAAACTACTTTTAATTCTCAGTCCCTGCGACTTTTTGCTATTAGCAGAACTTATACTGCCTGATGCAGATAAGGTTCTACTCAAATTCGAAGATTCCAACAGAGAATCATCCCCTTGATTTGGGGGAGCATCGTTTTTCTTCTTATGACTAAGATGGTGTAAAAAGCCGTGCTTCTTCTTGTTCGTCGAACCCTCTGAAGCTAAAGTACTGGTTGACCCCTCATCTTTATATTTTGTAAAGAGACTCTTTCTTGTCGTTAACTTCGGCTTGTCTGTCTGTCTTTTATCCAATTTTTGATCTTGGAGTCGCCTCAACTTCTCATCTTTAGCAGTCTTCAGTTTTAATTTTTCATCATTCTTAATCAGCCTAGTAATTCTTCTATCTAATTCCTTATTGTTTTCGAATGGGGTCATCTTCGGTGCCTTTATGTCTGTTTTACTCTTAAAAGGGCCAAAGCTTCCGATGCTCCTAAAACCTGTATTTGATTTCGTTTTTTCCAAATCAACACTTCTAAGCCCTAATGTACTCAAGGATGAAGACGACATATTAGATCTAATATGCTCCAAACCAGAATCAGATTCATTTCCAGAAGCCTGAGATGGTATTTTTCCTTTGAATTGTGAGCGTTCAATTTTCGGGTCTTCATTTTGTTGTTTTTGTTTCTGTTGTTCATCATACTTATTCTCTAATTCTTCTATGGCTATGTTCAACTCAAGTTTACTCTGATTAAATACCTCACCCATATTCTTCACGTTTGCTGCTCGTAGCATCAACTTTATATCTCTACAAAGCGTGGCGGTTTCATATATCAAATCGATCGTATAGTCAGATGGTAATGGCGATTGTGGACTTACTAACTGCTCGAGCGTAAGATTCAAGCTTTTAGACTTTTCTATTTCGCTTTGCTTTTCTTTTTGATCGTTATCAAGGGCACTATGAAATTGCATATCTGTTCCAGATTTATCAAAGATCGATTTTGCTCGAGGGCCAACGTTTAATGACAGATTATCTCTAGCATCTAAGTAGCCAAGTTCGAAGTCAGTATCCTCTTCACTATTAGAAGTAGATTTTTCAATAGAATCATCCGTTAATTCTTCTTGAATTTTAGTTGGAATATTGTTTGGGTTGTCTTCGGAATTTGCTGATGCTAACGTCTCATCGATTGGAACCTCCCTTAATGACAGCGCGTTCTCATTAATATCATCAATACTAATGGAATAACGAAATGATGACGCTGAGTTTAAAGACAGCTTATTCCTCTTGCTACTCATTGCCGATGCTGAACTATCCTTATGACTAGCCGACGACTTCTTTAGTAATGTGATATCTAAAAACCCATCATCAATGGTATCCATAAAACCTTCGTACTCATCTAACGGGAACCTAAAACTCGATTCCTTAACCGAATTTGTTAATTCTAATAATTCATGATATCTTCTTTTCAACTTATTACCTTCTCTAATAATAAATGATTCCTTCCTACCGATAACACCAAACAAAACTTCACTAATTAAATCATATAATAACGGAACATCCAAAAATTTTGAAATTGCCAAATTATCCAATGTTACGGGCGATAAAAGCCATTTGTTACCAACCTGGCCGGTATACAAATATTCGCAGAATGCTTTGATTGAACTAGTTCCAAATGGCATATAGAGCTTCCTTGGGATGAGCGACGGCTCCATACTAAATTTCCCACTCTCCGCATTTTCAAAATCTAATAATGGATTACTAAAAAGGGAATCATTTGCTTCAGTAGTATTCGTTTCTTCATAATCTTGATGGTCATCTGCATCCTTCGCAGTTATTTTATTGGAATTTGGTTGGATTGATGTCAATGGAGAAAATTTCCTATCCAGATTAAATGTTTCCAGTGATGTCATTGAAGAACTACTCGAAACTTTCTTGTTTCTGACATTTTGATCTGTTATATTTTCACCGGTAGCCGTCCTAATCGGAAGAGCGTCAGTAGAACTGTTTGGTGAACTGTCTAGTGATCTTGCGAGACGTTGATTATTTCTGTCAGTAGAAAGAGAGCTTTGCTTCAAATTTGGAATTGCTGAAGTCAGTAATTCATTTCCCATTGGTACGGGACCTGAGCCAGACACTGATGCTCTCGGAGAAGAAAACGGCGACTCCCTAGGAGATTTTGTAGCAGGGATATTCCTCAAAGCTGTCAAAGTATACATAAGTGATGCTCTGGGTGAATTTAAATCTGCTGAATTTTTTCTCGACGAACTTCTGAATGATGTTGAAGCAGGAACTGCTGGAATTGGCTCATTAGGTAATGGTAATTGAGGTGGAATGTTCTGGAGATGAGAATTTAATAAGGAATTACTGCTTGAGAATGAACTGACTGACCCTTTACGAGAAGTCTCAGGTTGCTCCGTTATATGCGACGAACCAGACAAATCAAGCAATTTTTCGCTATTATTTGTTTCTATTCCGCCCTTTGTTTCTTCGACGTTTTCGTTATTCGTTTTATTTGCTTTCTCTGAAACTGAATCATTTGTTAGCGACGGCTCCTGAAAGGGAAGCCTAAACTGTGGAGGCTCTTTAGAATATTTAGATGGTGCAGGGATAGAAACATGATACGAAGATTGATGATATCCCTTTTTATTTGGGTTATTCTGGTTAACACTAACTTCAGAATTGCTGGATGAAATCGAAGAACCGCCACCTGTACTCATCGACGATCTTAACTTGTTTTGCGTTTTGCTTGCAGGATTCATACTTTCTGATGCTAAAGATGCATTCGTCGTAGACTCACTGTCTAACTGTTGATCACGTTCAAACCTATCCACAGCATGGACATATCCTTTTGCTAATAGCTGAACAAAATATCTACCCCACCTTTCCATTAAAATCCTCAAGGATACCGGTATCCTATCTCCATTAGATGAAACCAATTCAAAGTCAGATATCAAATCACCATATCTATCCATGGCATTTCTACCCAAGGTTATAGCAGCTGGAGGAAATACTGATCTGATAGTGGTGAACTTTGTTTTTGGGGCTACATAATGAACATATTCACTAAAGCTTATTGATTGAGGAACCTTATCACTGGAAGCAGAGACGCTAGAATGTCTTTTGGGCATAGTTCCTGTCTTCTTTTCACCATCACTTAATGCATCGGATGATGAATAAGCAGCATCTTCGCTAATCCTATCCCTGTTATTATCGTCAGTGGAAGAATTGTCGTCCTTATAGAACACTTTTGTGCCATCAGGGCAATGATAATGACCTCCCTCTAATTCCAAACTTGCTAGGATATTTGTAATTGGCAAACTCACTGTGATCATTAATGTAAAATACCTTATACTACTTGTAGTCCGAGAGGTTAGGTAATTACCGAGTAAGACAACCTTATGATGAGATTGCCATGCAANCCCTCCCCAACATCTATGCGAGCCATAATCATGATCACAGAAAAAATTTAGTCTAGACCATTTACCTGTTGGTTTATTGTAGATGAAAACACATATATCATTATCATTGGGTAAAAATCCTGTAATGACAATATTTTGACCAAACAACCCACCCGTAGGAAATTTCAAGTTGTAAGGAATGGTATGGTTCGTTATTCTGGTCTCGTTTTCTTTTGTCAGAACCTTGTTATGTACTGGTAATATTTTACCTTCTTTTATGGACTTTCCAACTTTAAACGATAGCAATGGGTTTATTGACTGGTCTTTTGATGAATCAACTTGCGAATACACTATTATTGATTCATCACCTTCGATAGTACTTGTATAATCGCTCAGTATAGCTTTATTTGTTGATCCGGTACGAGAATGATGATGATGATGATGAGTGGGTTCCTTAATGAAACTAATTATCACATTATTAACATAATCGACACTAATTTTATAGTCCTCTGAAGTAACAATACTATTGATATTTCTATATTTTTGACAATTTTTCTTGGTGTCGAGCGTTAGTTCAATAGGTGATGACCCCACGTATTCCTTTGTCACAAGATCAAACACAAAATTGTCATACAACGGCCTTGATTCGTCATCTCTTCCACCTGCTATAAATATTCCAAAATGGTCTTTCCTGTTCGCAAATGACAAGCTACTCAAAGTCGTTATCTTGTGACTAAACCTCGGTCTAGGAACAGCGGCATCATATTCATAATTGCTACCATCATGAAGCAAATTCCACCTTCGAGACTCAAGGCTAAACTCCCATAAATCGTTACATGGCACCAATTCTCTTTCATTAGTATCTTCGTGTGTGTAGCTGACGTATTTCTCATTCACGATCAACCCTCCAAATACATATATGCAGTTATTAACCGCTGTTATCTCATGAAATACCCTAGGTTTCGGCTTTCGTTCACCGCTGGGTATATCCACCCGTGTCCAATACTTTTCGATCAAATCAAGATAAAAAAACTCTCCCGATAGATATCTGTCGATCAGATTGGATTTCAAATTCGATATTTTCAGATGGAAAATCTGAATTAATTCATCTACACTCTCATTCCCAATATCCAATCCTATGGTGAGCCCCCCGTACGTAAATACCAATGATTTATAAAGAGTCGATGCTGAGCCGGTCCTCACATTCAAATTGAGTCGATCATCCTTTTCTGTTGGTGGCAATCGTAAACCATAACAGCTGCTTGCCGATGGTACTAACGTAGACATATTTCTTTCTTTTTTTTTCTGGTCTAATGCCCAAGTCTTGGTATTACACTCCTATTGCCTTCTCCCTTTCTATAATTACTCCTTTCCAAGAATTTTCCTGTCTAATCTCTCTGACGACGAGAATGAACTGAATTATTGATCTTATCGTAAATAAATATACCGTATTTCTAAGGGATCCTTCCAATGACTCCTTGGCGCTATATTGGCTACTATTTTGTTTGTATAGCGATACAACCTTGTAGATGTCCAATGTCTAATTACGATGAAAGGCATGTTCAGGCATATATCGTCTTGCGGCGTAATCTATTTAGGCCGCAAACTACCTCACAAATGTCGTGAAAGTAAACACCGAACGAGATTGGTCTGAGTTCTCGCGACATCGGTGTCGTCTAGAAAATTTTTAAATGATACCCCATGACGCCCAAACTGCCTTTCCCCTCCTTTGTGGAATACATCCATACATCTGATAAAGTCTAGTGTTACGTCATGTATCACTGACTGGTTATGTGGCTGAAAAAACCCGACGGGTCATTGGTTGGGACACGTCGGCCAGCCATTTTGCAGATGTGTTGTTACGTAAGTTATTCTATTTACCGATTAGGAAAGCCATAAGCAAAAGAAGACTCTTAATCGAGGAATTGGGCATTGTCGGAAATGGGTCGGAAATATAAAAGATTTGTATTATTCAGTCACTTGCTCGGGCATAAAGGGTGACAGAAAATGAGAAATTTCATTTCAAATGCCAGTTCCGGTCGATCACGCTGCTCACCGCTCATTAACGCCAACCCCCTTAGATAGAAATTAGTATAAGGTGGGCGATATTTGTTTCTTCTTTTCTAGTTCATATTCTTGGAAATTAAGTACCAAAGCGACAATTACATCCATACAATTAAAACGTACGTAAAGCGGGCCAATTGAAGAACAAGGAAAGCAATGAACCCAATACTAACAACTTAGCAGCAATCAGTATTAAGTATGTCCGAAGTTGTTGAACAGAGGGCTAGCAATGGTGATAATGCTTCAACCAAGACTAGTTCTACGCAAAACACTAGATTGAAGAAATTGACCAGTGGGTCGGACTGGGTGTCCCCATTCAGAGAATCGGGGCATTCGCAAAAGAACCTTCGTCAGCAATTAAAAGAGGATAACTCTATTAAGAATATACATGTTCCTAGCAAGTTCACGACTCATCCTACGTTAGAGGCACAGAAGAAGGAAAAGAAGGAAAAGGAAAAGGCGGCCAAATTGGAGAAGAAGAAGAAGGAAAAGGAAGCCAAGGAGAATGCAGCCAAGGAGAAGGAAGCCAAGGAGAAGGAAGCTGAAAATAAGGGCGACGAAGAGGAAACCAAGGCAGTTACATTGAAAAATACTGAGGTTGATCCTTTAAAGGCGGTCACTTTAAAAGAAGATGGAGCTGATACAAAGCTGTCGAAGGATGCATCTATGCGTTCGTTGAAAGATGAGCCAATTGACACCCCTAAAGAAAGCGTATTTGGGGGTAACAAAGAGACCGAGGATCTCGAATACGGCGAAGATGTATATGAAGATGACGTAAAGGCCGACAATGAATCAGAAAGACCGTTGTCAGAAGCTGAACAAGCAGAAGTTGAAGATGAAGTGGACGGTGAGACTAAGAAGGACGAGTCTGCAACTGCTGATGAAGCTACTAAGGAGGCATCCGAAACTGATGTTAAGGACAAAGATGCAAATGGTTCTGATGATATTAAAAATGTTGTCAAGGAAACTCCAATTGAGCTTGTAACTCAACCAGGATCTAAATATGAACCTGTGCCTTTACCTAATCAAGAAGTCTTAGACAAATTGAAGGATAAGCCTAAGTTGTTAAACCGCTACCAAGAGTTAAACGCTGCGGCCGTATCTTCTTTATCTCGTAGTCTCGACGACCCTAATAAGGTTGTTGAGTTAGGAAGTGGTTTGAGGATGACTCAACAGCAATTATTGGATATTGCCGCTAAAAGAGTTGCTCCTGTTATAACTAACATCAATGATGAAGTCTCGAAGACTAGAAATGAAGATGAAATTAAGAGGAAGAAGGAATTGGATTCTAAGGTTGCAAGCCACGAGAAAAAGTTGCAAAAGGACTTTGATAAGCATAGCAAAAAACTTGACAAGCAAAAGTCTAAGTTCACTACTGATATTGGAAAGAAATTAGAAGATTTGAAGAAAAAGATGAAGAATTCTGACTTAACAGCTGCAAACTTTGAGAAAGAAACCAGGAAAGAAATTGACACAGCCAACGAAGACTTCGAAGAGCGTGAAACAACTGCTGTTGAGAAGCATTCCAAGGATAAAGATACAATTATCAAGAACCATGAAGAGTTAGAAGGAACTAAGAAACAAGAATTGGAAGATGCAAAAGCTAATCAAGAAAAGACAACCCAAGAGATTGAAGAATTGCATGAAAGGAAGACTGAATTAGATAACGCTAATTCCGAGTTGTCTACAAGGATTGAGGAACTCACTGCCGAATTAAATGAAAGAACCAAGGAATTAGATGACTTAAAGGCTAAGCATGCAGCAAAGCAAGATGGTATCTCCAAAAATTTAGCTAGCAAAGAAGAACTCGACAATAATATTACGACAACTAAGAAGGAATTAGACACTAAGAAAAAGCAACATGATAAATTATCTACTGAGGTTGGTATCTTAGGTGGTGTTTTGAGCGCATATGCAGCTAAGTTAACTAATTTAAAATCTGAAGCTTCGTCCCATGGCGACAGATTGGCTGACGCTAAAAAGAAATATAAAGATTGGGAAGAGGAAAAAGATCAATTAGCTACTGAAATAGCCAGAGATCATGAGCGTAAGAGAGTTACTGCTCAAGAAGAGGCTGAGACCAAACGTGTTGAAGATGAGTTGGAAGAAAAGAGATTAAAAAAAGAAGCTGAAAGAAGAGAGGCTGAGGAAAGTGTAGCTGCAAAGAAGGAAGAAGAACGTAAATTGCAAGAGTCACACGAAAAGGCTGAGGCTGATAGATTAGCTAATGATCCTGAACACCAATTTATGTTAGCTACTCAGAAGAGAGAATCGGATGGAAAGAAATTAGATGACGAGAGAGCTGAAAAAGAACGCGTTTATAATGAGCATAAGGATAAGGAAGCCGAGGAAGCTCAGAAATTACAAGAAGAAATTGAAGAATTAAAGCAACAAAAGGCTGCTCATGATGAATCTGCTAGAGGTGAAGCCGACAAGCTTGCAGAAGCGAAATTGGTTCAAATCGAACAATTAAAAAAGGAGCATGAAGAACGAGTAAAAATGTTCAGAGAAAAGCTAGAATTTGAAGAATTACAAAAAACTAGATTATTGGACGAGGTCGATAATTTGAACAAGATTAAGGAATTGAGGGAAGAGAAAGCGAGATTAACCTCTGAATTGAACAAGGATGTTGACGTGAATGATGTTAATAAACTCATTGAAGAACGGGAACTTGAGATTTCTAAATTAAGTAAACAAATCGAATTCGATAACTCTGATTTAAATAATTTCAATGCTACTCAGAAATCTGCTTTAACTGAAGGTCCAAAATCTACGGAACCATCGAAGAATATTACTGAGTCTGATAGATCTTCTAAAGGGCTCCTGAATGCTCCTATCTTTGCCAATATTGGTGGTAATTCAAAGGAACAAAACATTGCTGATAAATCAGATCATCTGAAACCAGTAAAGAATGAAGACAATTCTAACAGCTCATCTCAGAAAAAATCTGGAGCACTTGCTACTGGGGCAGCTACTGTCGGTCTTGCCGGAGCCACTGGTGCTGGTACCGCTGCAGCTTTAGATGCTAAGCATAAAGCTAAGAATGTTTCAAACGTGAATGATTCTAAGAGTAATGGGGGTGGTTTTAGTAAGCTCAAGAGTTTAACTAAAAGAATTAGAGGGGAATCTGTGTCTGATGCAAATGCCGAAGAGCCTGCTGTTTCGAGTAAAGAGAAAAAGTCTAGTACGAAAAGCGCAGCTCCTGTGAATATTTCGAAGCAACCAGATGGAAAGTCAACTAAAACTAAGGCAGTTCCAGTAGCTTCATCGTCAAAAAAGGCCGATAATGCAGCAAGCTTCTCAGATTCGTCCTCAGCATATGAAACCTTTTCAGTATATGAAGAAGTTTCAGAAGCCGAATATCAAAAGAATTTGAAGAACCCAGATTATATGGAAATGACTGCTGAAGAATTTGAAAAGCGTAGAAAGGCGGGTGATCACTAAGGAATTTCTATTTTGTCTAGTACTTTCTACTCTGTAATTTTCAATTGTACATTTAATGTATATAATTCGTTGAAATTTTTGGTATTTTTTTATAATTCATTGTTACTATCATTTTCTTCATTATTGTCTTATTGATATATTTTTTATTTTGCTAGTTTTATTTTGATTAATTGTATTACTGAATATATTGTTTTATACGTTTAAATTTCCTCCTATTTCTGGAACATACAATCAGACGTGCGATTCTGTTTAAACAAATTAAATTCTAAATAATACTATATTATACATGGCTGATGATTGATTCAGTCAAATGTAGTCTTTTTACCAGACGAAGGGACAATAGCAACACTGGCTCTTTGAGCTGTAGCCAAGGCAATGGAAGACTTCTGTCTTTTGTTAGAATTATTTTCAGGCCTATCATATTTTCTCTTGAATGGTGTTGCTTGTGGCTTTGTTCTCTCCCTGGTTGTTGAAACCTGAGGTGATGGTTGCGAAATTGCATCTTGTTCTGAAGATTCAAAATTATCTCTATTCCTGGCAAATTTTTTAGGAGTTAACTTCGATCTATCTTCACCATACTCTAATCTTAATGGTCTATTAATTAAACTTTTAGCTAATTTCGATTTCAAAGCAGTCGTAGGACCTGATTCATCACGGAAATCGATAAACGCGAACCCTTTACATTTACCAGTATCTTCAAATGTAGCCATTCTAATCTTGACAATATCCCCACAATGTCTGAAATGTTCCCTTAATAAATCTTGAGTAGTATCAAAGGACAAATTCCCAACAAATAAAATTCTTGATGGTGGGTTCTTAGATAATGGATTAGCATCCTTCTGAGGTCTCCCTTCGAAAGAATTGGCATTCTTAATTAATAAATTTCTACCATTCAAATGCGATTCACTTAAGGAGATGACAGTATCGACATGTTTGGCGCTTGGAAGATCGACGTAAGCAAAACCTTTTATTTTATTTTCTTTCTTAGGAATGTTTATTCTTATGAAATCAGATTGTTCAATTTTGACAAGTCCATCATTGGCATCAACATCATATGCATTAGTCTTTCCCATGATAAACCTTGTAATATCTTCTTTTGTTGTATCAAATGATAAGTTTCCTATCCAAACACCATATTCTGATTTCTTAGGTTCCTTAGCATCTTCTTTGATTTGTTCTTCTTCTGTCAAGATAGGCTTTGGGGGTGGGTTCTTTTTTGCTAACTTTTCAAGATTTAATTTACCCTTTTTCAACAAACGCTTTTGCTTCTTAGATAATGGTACACCAGCATTTAAATCAATAGCTATTTCTTCATCATCACTATCACCGCTATTTTCATTTTCATTATCACTGTCTTCATCTACAGCTTTTCTCTGCTTCTTTTCTTTTTTTTCTTTCTTTCTTTCCTTCTTTTCTTTCTTCTCTTTCTTGTCTTTCTTAGACTCCTTCTTTATTTCGACTTCTTCCTTACTCATTTTGCTTCTATTTACCGTTAGTAAGTTTTCCTCTTCTCATCGCTATCAAAAATATTTATCAAATATATTTTAAAGGTCGTGCTTGACAAAAACATTTTTCTTAATTTGATACGGATGTTCCAAATAGCTGAAATACTTCACCATTCTGTTGGCTACTTATGCTTTTGACTATAATACAATGAAATGAACATGTTTTTTATACCATGTTTTTTATCTAACATAGTATAAAAAACATGGCTGTTTTGCTAATGATTATATATAATAAAAAAGTTGCAAAAAAATCGAAATAATGGAAATTCGTTTATGATATTCACGATAACAACCCATAAATCAGGAATTCAAACACTATTAAACCGTCCTATTACAAGATAAAATGTGATAAGTTTGTTGGAGTTTAAATTACAAGTTATATACTGAATAACAAATCTTAGGTTTTTTGTATATATATAAATATATATATATATAGATGCCCATTAATTGTCATCTATCATTTCCAGCCATAACCATTTTCTCCACAATTCCCCGGATTCGTTAATAATATTATCCATGAAGTCAATTTTATGATTGTTCCTCGAGTCATTTGATATAATATTATTATTCATATCTGATTCTTGAGGCTTGAAATGCTTATACTTATTACTTATATTTATGGATTTCGTAGGTAACCTTGACAAGAATTGTCTAATTTCATGTTGATCTAATTCCATCAACGTATTTTCTTTAGATTTTAACAATGCCAATGTGACAAATAATAATTCAACGTGAGGATCCAATTTTGAGAACGGTATATTAAATTCATCAGCCGGGGCAATATTTGATGATGAAAATGAAGGTGAAGATAATGGCAGCGGTGGAAGTAGATCTTCATTGATTGATGAATTCAGCGGGGAATTCGAAGTAGGAGAATTTGAATTTGAAGATTCATTAATATTCAATTCATTAATCAAATCTTTAAACGAGCTGGATTTTTTATAATTTTCTATCGTCAGGTCATCATTATCTTTACTCACGGACCAAAAATTATCGGGACCCAACTTATTAATTAAGTTATCACTTAAATTTAGTTTCTCTACATAATATGAATTGGATTTCTTAAAATTCTGTAACCTCCAACCAAAAATTAAATCCCAGATTCTGCCTCGATCTAACCTTGACCACACTTTCGAGCCACACCACTTTAACCACCAGATTAGCCATTCATCATCATGACTACCAAATTTATTTAAAATCTGTTCTTCTTGGAAATACTGAGATAACTCAGGTAATAACTTTCTAAAGCAGTAAATAAAAAATGAAACTCTTTCCTCTATAGTACCACCATTAATCGGCAAGATCTTTCTATTAATTTTCTTTGGGCCCAATAAATCTTTAGATTTGTTCTTAATCTTATCCTCTGGTGCATGTAATAGTACTAAAACTAACCGTTCATATACGTCGCGGAATGACATGTTAATAATTTCCTTATCATTGACCAAATCCTCAAGATATTCATTGAGGTTTGGAACATTATTAATATAATTTGAATAATCATGAAAAAGGTTTTTAATGCATGAGGTTTTGGACGAAGGGAAATCTCTACCAACCAAAACCCACGATGTATTAGGGATAGGAGGAAACCATTCTGCAAGTCCCAAAGCAATCCAAGTTAAAGCATGATCATATTTCATTATCTTGCCCCACTTATTAACGAATTTCAAGATTGAAGATTCCAAAATCTTGAAGACTTCTTGTTCTTCTGGTGACGCATTATTCAAATCAATTAAATTTGTGTAGTTCAAACGATGTATATATTTTAATAAATCTCTCTTTATATCCAGTTTGAGATCTTCTTCAGTATTCATTTCATTCTCATTATTAACTTCATTATCTGGTTCAATAAATGGGTTCACAACGAATGGATGGTGCTTCAATAGTATAGGCCAAATCTTAAATCTCAAAAATGGGGGCAAACCTTTTTGTCTCGCAACCAATGCTAAACCCTGATGATTTTTCGTGGTAAGATAATGTTGACAGAGTTGAAAAATTTCAGAATCATAACTAAATGATGGCTGTCCAAGCTTGGAACTGTTTTCTGTGCTACCTTCGTTCTCGTCATCTGCATGGCTGTTTTCCGACTTACCACGGGCCGAAGAACCTTCGCCATTAGGAAAATCTTTACCTTTGTTCTGGTTGTCAGCATCATCCGAAATCACTCTTCTTCCTGGAGTGTATATCAGACCATTTTCTGCGTCACAGGGTGTTCTTTCCGTACTATCGGACGCCACGGTAGAATTACTATTATCTTTGACAGCTGATTCTTCAGACATAATGCTATTACCGGCTTTTATATTTGTAGATAAGTTATTCAAACTTAAATTAGACTTAGGATTATCAGTATTAATGAAATCTTGGGACATATTAATTAAATAATATATCGAGTGTGACAATTGTTATTATTTTTAATACATTATGCATATAACTAAGACAGGAAATTGAAAAAATGAAAGTACATATATCTTTGTATATATGTGTGTCTAATAGGATATATAGTATATACACAAAGTATACAAAGTATATGTATTTGATTGGCTTTACGTCTTACGATCACTTTCCGATAATTTTGGATTGGACGGAAAAAGTAATCATCGTGTATTAACCAGAAAGATTTTCGTCGTGTTAGACTCGATGTCACTGACATTTAGTAACATAGGAGATGCCATATTACAGAAGCTACGCTCTAGACAGTCATAATGCGGAGCTAAGACAACTCAGTAAAAAAAGAGTTGTCTCTAACGCAAGTAAGAGTTTTTTTTTTATTTTTTTGCATCTAGCCTCTGTAGAAGTAATAATTCTAACCTAAGAAACAATGCCATACCAATTAGACTGCCTAGATATTTGCATAGATATTACCTTTAAGGAGATACCTGCCGTGGTCCTTGACAAAAATCTTGAAATATTAGCAGCAAGTCATACATGTAATAAATATAATAGTACTCTCAACCATTGATCTTTTCTTAAGAAGATTAATGCAGACCCCTAACACCTCTTCAACACGACAAATCCACACTTCAGTTGCAATTTGGATAACCTTCATACTTCTGTAGAATAGGCCCAACCATGTTGACTCACGGAATTAAAGCCAAAAAAAAAAATGCTCAAAATATCGCACTCGAGTCATTCTCGCTGCAATCCTCTATTATCTCGGTCGTAAATTGTATCCACTACATAAAACAAGCAGACATCGTTCTTTCAAGAATTCTCTGCTATAATTTTGCTGACTATTCTTTCGCTAGCAGCGTCAGCCCCACCAATTGTGTTCAATGATTTATTTTTCTACGAGAAGCGATATGGCATGTTATTGAAGCGTCCGAGATTCATTAATGCAACCTTGGTTCATTGAATATAGGTTCCATTCCTTCCCACTATCTACCTTCTTCCCTTCACGATTTCACTTATTTCTACTTTTTTTATCGACTTAGTATTCATTAATTACGAAAACTTTTAAGTTTGGAAAACCTTGAATCTTGCTTAGGCTGTTATCAGGTGCATGATGCGACATTTCTACTGTCTTCTATTTTGGAGCAATGCGGAAGTGTTCCAAGTTAGGCGATGTTATGAATTTCTTTTTTTTTTCTGTCGTTAAATGGTGCACACGTGATTCTTGATTGTCTATCTATTCACAGAATATATAAAGGGGTTATATTGCCACTCAGTTCGAATGTTATTAATCTATTCTTTATACTTTTAATTAATAAGTTAATTTAATAATCAAATTATAAATATGCAAATCTTCGTTAAAACATTAACAGGTAAGACCATTACCTTGGAAGTCGAATCCTCGGACACAATTGACAACGTCAAGTCCAAGATTCAAGATAAGGAAGGAATTCCACCAGACCAACAAAGATTGATTTTCGCCGGTAAACAATTAGAAGACGGTAGAACGTTATCTGATTACAATATCCAAAA